TATTTGCGGAGAATTGAGATCTTAACCATATTGAATCCTTTGATCCATGAATACTTTATATCTCTCCATTTACTTAATTCTCATTTAATTTCTCTCAGGAATATTTTATAGTTTTCAGTGTGCGAGCCTTTTACATCTTTTATCAGATTCATTCCTAAGTGCTTTATATTTCTGATGCTATCATAAATAATATTTTTTAAAATTTCAATTTCTAATTGTTCATTGATAGCTAATAGAGATCAATTATTTTTTGTATATTGATCCTTTATCCTATAAATTTGATTCAACTCATTTATTATTTCTAGTAAACTTTTTTATAAAAGATTCCATCAGGTTTTCCACATAAGCAATCATTCTATCTGCAAATACAGTTTTGTGTCTTCCTTTATATTTTGAATACATTTTATTTCTTTTTCTTGGTCCTATGTACTGGCTAGAACCTTCAGTGCAATGTCAAACAGAAGTTATGAGAGAAGACATCCCTTACCTTTATTCTGATCTTGGAGAGAAAGCACTTGTCTTTCACCATTAAATATGATGATAGGTTTTTTTTTTTGTAGAAGTCTTTTATCAAGTTGAAGAAGGCTCCTTCCATATCTACTTTGTTGAGGGTTTTTTTTTTTTATTGTAATCATAAATGGATGTTAGGTTTGTTAGATGCTTTTTCTCCACCTATTGCAATGATTGTATGGTGTTTATTTTTTAGTTTATTAACTTGGGTAAATTACATTGATTTTCAAATATTAAACCAATCTTGCATTCTTGAGAAACCCCACTTTGTCATGATGTAGCATATTTTCATGTATTATTAGATTTGATATGGTAAAAATTTGTTTAGAATTTTGCATGTGTGGGGGTGCCAGGGTGCTCAGTCAGTTAAGCATCTGACTCTTGATGGTGGCTCAGGTCATGGTCTCCCAGTTTGAGACTGAGCCCCTCATCAGGCTCTGTGCTGGCAGCGCAGACCTGCTTGAGATTCTTTCTCTCCTTCCCTCTCAGCCCCTTCCCCACTTGCATGTTCTCTCTCTCTCAAAATAAATTTTAAAAAAAGAATTTTGCATGTGTGTTCATGAGAGATATTGGTCTATAGTTTTCTTCTAATGTCTCTGTCTATTTTTCATAAGGTAAAAGTTGGCCTTCAAAATGAATTGGAAATATTCCCTTCTCTTCAATTCTCTAGTACAGTTGTACAGAATTGGCATTATTTCTTCCCTAAATGTTTGCTAGAATTCACCAGTGAAGCTTGTGGGCTTGAAGTTTTCTTTGTGAGAAAGTGTTAAACTACACATTTTATTCCTTTAATCATGCTACTTAAGTTACATACTTATTTTTGAGTAGTTTAAGTCTTTCAAGGAATCTATTTAATCTTGAAGTTATTGACATATTGACATAAAGTATCTTATAATATTCCCTTATTATCCTTTTAGTATCTGTAGAATTGAAGTGATGTCACTCCACTCATTTTTGATGTTGATACTAAAAGCTGCCTTTTCATTTCACTGACTTCTCTATTTTTCTGTTTTCCATTGTCTTTATTTCTGCTTTGATCTTTATTATTCCATTTCCTCTCCGTACTCAGTGATGCATTTCCTTTTCTTCTTTTAGTTTCTTAAAAGTGGAGGCTGGGGAAGATGAATACTGTATGAGCAACATCCCACATGTTGACATGTTGTGTTTTTAGTTTCAGTCAGTACAAAATAGTTTTTAACTTCCATTTTGATTTATTTGGCTGATAGGGTTACTTAGGAGTGTGTTGTTTAGTTTCTAAATATTTGGAGATTTTACAGATCTGTAAAATGGTCACAGAACATATGTGGTCATGGAACATATGTTGAATGATGGAATCCTTTTAAATTTACTGAGACTTGTTTTATAGCCAATGAATTCTCATAATAGATGAGAATATGATCTATTTTGATAAATATGTGTCCACTTGAAAAAAAAACATGTAGTCTGCTGATTTGGTGTGGAGCGTTCTATAAATGTCAATTAGGTCAAGTAGGTTGATAGTATTTTTCAAGTCTGCTGTATCTTTACTGATTTTCTATATATTTTTTTCTGTCAATTATTGAGAGAGGGATATTGAAATACCCAACTAGTATATTTATGTATCTTCCTTTCCTATTCTTCTAAATATATTTTGAAGTTCTATTATCAGATACATACATTTTTAGGTTATGTATTTTCTTTTTTTTTTTTTTTTTAAATGTTTTATTTATTTCTAGGAGAGAGAGAGAGAGACAGCGTGAGCAGGGGAGGGTCAGAGAGAGAGGGAGTCACAGACTGAAACAGGCTCCAGGCTCCGAGCTGGCAGTCAGCACAGAGCCCAACGCGGGGCTCAAACCCACAAACCCTGAGATCATGACCTAAGCGAAAGTCGGACGCTTAACCGACTAAGCCACCCAGGCGCCCCTAGGTTATGTATTTTCTATTAGTTGACATTTCTATTGTGATGGAATAACCTCCTTTATCCTTGGTAATATCTTTGCTTTGAAATTGACTTTGTCTTATAGCAATATAGCCACTCAAGATTTCTTTTTATTAGTGTTAGCAAAGCATAATTTTTTCTGTATTTTAACCTACTTATATCTTTCTATTGAAGATGATTCTTACAGACAGTATATAGTTGGCTTTTGCTTTTTTAGCCAGTATGACAACTCTATCTTTTAATCAGGGTTATTATACCATTTATATTTAATGTAATTATTTATATGATTACATTTAAAGTTACTGTTTACTCTTTTCTATGTATCCCATCTGTTTTTGGTTTCTTTTTCTTTTATTCCTTCTCTTGGATTGATTTAGTACATTTTATTATTTTTGGGGGGGATAAATAGTTACAACTCAGGTTTTGTTATTTTAGTAGTTGTTTAATGGTTTGTAGTGTTGATCTTTCAGTTATCACAGTCTATCTTCAAATGATATTATATGATTTCATGAATAATATAAAAACCTTACAATAAATAGTGTACTTCCATTGTTCTCCTCCTGGCCTTTGTGCTATTGTTTTCATACATTTTACTTTTAGCACACCAAATTATTTTTTTGTTTAAATAATCAATTGTCTCTTTTACTGAAATATAGATCATGTAATATTAAATTATATAGTGATTCAACAATTATATACATTATGAAATGCTCACCACAATAAGTGTTTTACAGTATTGTTGACTATATTAACTCTGCTGTACTTTTCATCTGGTGACTTATTTATTTTATAACTGGAAATTTTTACCTCTTAATCCTTTTCACTCATTTTGTCCATATCCCCAGTTTGTTCTCCATATTTATGAGTGTTTTCCCTTTTTGTTGTTGTTTGTTCATTTTTTAAAATAATTTTTTAAATTTTTATTTAAATTCAAGTTAGTTGACATATAGTGTAGTAGTGTTTTCAGGAGTAGGATTTAGCGATTCATCACTTACATATAACACCCAGTGCTCATCCCAACAAGTGCCCTCCTTAATGCCCATCACCCATTCAGCCCATCCTCCCACCCATCTCTTCTCCAGCCACCCTCAGTTTGTTCTTTACATTTAAGAGTCTCTTATGATTTGCCTCCCTCTCTGTTTTTCTTATTCTATTTTTCCTTCCTTTCCCCTATGTTCATCTGTTTTGTTTCTTAAATTCCACAAATGAGTGAAATCATACGATATTTGTCTTTCTCTGACTGGCTTATTTTGCTTAGCATAATACACTCTAGTTCCATCCACCTTGTGTTGCAAACAGCAAGATTTCATTCTTTTTGATCACTGAGTAATACTCCATTGTATATATATTACCACATATTCTTTATCCATTCATCAATTGATGGACATTTGGGCTCTTTCCATAATTTGGCCACTGTTGATAGTGCTGCTATAAATATTGGGGTGCACATGCCCCTTCAAATTAGCATTTTTGTATCCTTTGGTTAAATGCCTAGTAGTACAATTGCTGGGTTGTAGGGTAGTTCTATTTTTAGCTTTTTGAAGAACCTCCATACTGTTTTTCAGAGTGGCTACAGCAGTTTGCATTCCCACCAACAGCACAAAAGGGTTCCCCTTTCTCCACAGCCTTGCCAACATCTTTTGTTTCCTGACTTACTAATTTTAGAAACATGTAAGATGGTGTCTCATCATGATTTTGATTTGTATTTATGATGGGTGATGTTGAGCATCTTATCTGTGTCTGTTAGCCATCTAGACCTCTTCTTCGAAAAAGTGTCTATTCATGCCTTCTGCCCCTTTATTAAGTGGATTATATATTGATTTTCGAGCTGAATTCCTTATATATTTTGGTTACTAGCCCTTTATCAGATATGTCATTTGCAAATATTTTCTCCCATTTCATCAGTTGCCATTTAGTTTTGTTGATTGTTTCCTTTCCTGTGCAGCTTATCTTTTTTTTTTTTTTTTTAATATTTATTTATTTTTGAGAGAGAGAAAGCACAAGAGTAGGGTAGGGACAGGGACAGAGGGAGACAGAGGACCCGAAGTAGGCTCCACACTGTCAGCACAGAGCCCAATGCGGGGCTCAAACTCATGAACCATGAGATCATGACCTGAGCCGAAGTCAGACACTTAACCGACTGAGCCACTCAGGGGTCCCGATTGGTTGCTTTTTATTCTCAATATGGGACATATTTCCGACTTATTCAGACTCTTAGAAGTCTACCCTTTTTCTGTGTGCTCTCAACCCAAAGTGAGACTTTGGGGTTGGAAGGAGATACTTCTGAATTAACCTACTGATCAGTGTCACCCAGTTCTAATCTCTGTCTTATTCTAGGGATACCATCCCCTTTGCCATCCCATACCTTTCTGCTGGGCACCTCTGTCCTTCTGTCTGTTTATTTACAGTATTCAAGAGCAGCAGTTGGCCAGCTGGTCCCTTCCCGACCATCCAGGCCATATGCCTCAAGAATTCCTTTTTGCACAGCCCTGTGATGACTTTCGTCTGCCTCTTTTCCCTACTCAAGTAACTCCTTTACCACTAATTTAATTCTCTGTGTTTCCATTTATAGGATTTTACCTAGCCGCATGGCCTGCTGTCTCTGCCAATTTAAAAGTACCATTGAGGTCGTCTGCAAGACAGTCAAGCTGCACTGTGACAGTGAATGTCTGACAAATGCCACGCTTTGTGGTAAGTCCTAATTGCCTGATGATACATTTATAAATTCTTATTTATGTTTTACATTTTATTTTTAATCAACCATAATACATTTTTTTAATGTTTATTCATTTTCAAGTGACAGGGAGAGAGCACGCATGCATGAGTTGGGGAGGGCCCGAGTGAGGGGGACAGAGGATCTGAAATGGGCTCTGTGCTGACAGCGGTGAGCCCAGTGCTGGGCTAGAACTCACAAACTATGAGATTGTGACCTGAGCCTAAGTCAGATGCCTAACTGACTGAGCCACCCAGGTGCCCTAACAATGGTAAATTTTTAAACCAATGATGTCATTGCATTATTTTTATTCATTCAGAGTTCAGATCCCTATATTCCTAAGAATGATTCCTTTGTTAAAAGTCAGATTCCCGGTTACATTATTAAGTCAGCTACCCCCAAATGAAAACCTGTTCACATAGTGCATCACAGTTTATAAGCTGATTTTTAGCTGCACTAGGTCTCAGGTGCCCTTTGTCTTATATGATAGGTGGAGGTCCGTCTTTGTTTATTTTGTTTTTGCAAGCATGTAAGAGGACAAGTGGTTCCGGTTTCAGAAAACATTTTATTCGGAGCTTCAGTGTTTCTGTTCCCCAGCCAGCTGCTACCCAGCCCTTCTCCTGGGTGAGAGGCTCTTCTGTTCTTGGGCCATCCAGCTCTTGTTCTGAGCCTTGAGCTTTTCTATCCAAAACACAGGTGTTTTAGGTTGTTTTCTGTATATTAGGCTTTATCAGCACTACCTTGATGACTTCCAAAATGTGCTTTTGCCCCAGGTAGCTTGAATCTGGGTCCCTGTCAATGGTCTAGGGCACAGCACAAATTACACTTTGTTCCTTCTATAAATACAGGGCTGTTTATTTCCCAAAACAATGTTTTACCAATTATATTACTCCCTTCTCCCTCAGAGGTGGGCAGAATAGGCATTTTTAATCTCCTTTTACAGGTGAGGAAGAATAAAATAGGGGTGTTAGGTGCCGCGGCCCAGCACTTAAGTCTCCTATCCCGTTTCGGGCTCCCTGCAAGCCCGTTGCTCCTCTTCTCTCGTGACCCTTATAACCTCCTCCTCTGACTCTCACCAGCACCACTAAAAATACTTCTAATTCTTCTGGAAAAGAAACCTAGCTGCACAGTGCCATTCAGTGTATACAAGCTGTACACTTGTCCTTCATGTAGTTGGAAGTTCTGGATGGTTCTCTAAGTAAAGCTAGAAATATGCTAGAATTGAAAGGAAATGAAAGTAAAGTAGGCATTTGACAAAAGGTTCTTTATCCCTTCTGCATTTTAAAACCTCAAGTATTATTCCATTGATTTATTGAACATTCCACATTGGCATATCTCTCGTTCCTGGAAAACATCTTAACCTATCCCCTAGATTCCTGCCCAAATTTAAGCAAAGAACCAGGGTGGAATTAATGGGTTTTGTTTTTGTTTTTGTTTTCTGTCTAGCGCTTATGTTATGGGAGGTGCGATACATGGGAGCAGGGACCAAACAAAGGAATTGGTGGGTAGGTGGAGAGGGCATGTTCAGGTGACGACTGCTAGTGGCGGGTGTTGTCATGTGCCTGTGATGGTAGCAAGAACACAAGCCCACTGAAGAGGTAGGAGGAGGAAGACTCATGCTCCCTCTCTGCCTCTGAAGCAGCACAGGGTGGGGTACGTGCATGCCAGGGGTCACAGCAGATCTGCACACGGTTTAGCTGAGTGTCTTCCAGCCTTGGCTTTTCTTGGGTCCTGGGCAGTCAGCCCTTAGGGACCAATGGAATAATCCTAAATATAGCTATTCACACTATGGAATGTTCTGAGGAAATAGCCACTGTTTCAAAAAACATCTTTTTCTCCTTTTGTCATTGCCAATTGTAGGTTCAAATTTGAGTTTGTCTCCTCTCTAAATGGCATTCAAGTATTTGCTGATTCTTAATTTATTTGACTAGGATGTATGCCTGTGCATTGACAAAAAGCTGTGCTTTTTGTATTTCGTTATCAAAACTCGTCTCTTCTTTTCTGACAGATGAGGAAGTATATATAAGGAGTGAGGAAGGATCATTCATGAAGGTATTGAAAGCTCGGAAGAAGAGCACCAGCACTGAACTGACTATTGAGGCAGAAAAGCCATCCTCAGACAAAAGTGGCATCGGTTTGTCAGCCTTTATGAATGAGCAGCTAGACTTTAATGATGAAAGTGATGTCATTAGCGCACTGAATTACATATTGCCTTACTTCTCAGAGGGACATCTAGAAGACGTAGAATCGACGTTATTACCATTCATTAAACTTCTGTTTTCAAGTGTGCAAGAGGGAGACAGTCCTGTGGGTCACTTGACAAACAACACACAGGAACCTTCTCTTAAACCTGGATCCAACAATTCAACTTACAAGAATAAACTGAGGAAACTCTATTTTCTGGAAAACTTGTTAGATGCAGAAATTCAGGGAAAAGTTGATGAGGTTAAAGAGAAAGAAAAAACTGCCCTGCTTATACCTTCCAGCCTTTTAGGTCCCAAGTTTAAACGTCAAATCTTTCCAAAGAAATTGGAAACTGCTCAATCACAGGAAAAGAGCCTAGACAAGGTTGAGAATGTCGGGACAAAAATGCTGAGAGTGAACAAGGTCATCAAGGGCCTGAAGGGCATCCGGGAAAGGCGCCTTAAAGAAATGAGACGTCAGAATACCCAGAGGAAACAGAATGCCCAGCCATTTGTGGAGAATGTGGCCGAAGAAAGACGGCTCGAGAGACCGTCCGCAGGGGGGCTGGAACAGCTTCACGTGGCACAGAGGCCCCGGAAATTGGTGGGAAGCTCCTTCAAAACAGAGCCCTCATTCATACAGGAACACAAGGCAGCGGTCTCTTCGTTCCTGAAACAATACTCTGTGGGAAGGCCTGCTGCCTCCACCGCTCCCAAATCCCCAGCTGAGGTGAAAAACAAATCAAAAGACTTGACATACCCCATTTCTGTTTTAGAAGACGCAAATGCTAGAGTTAGAAACATGAAGGCTTCCAGACCAGCCTCACATTCCAGAAAAAAATACCTCTTCCATAAAACTCACTCGCGTGTGGTCCACAGAACACCCAAGGCCAAACTGAATCACAAGTCGAGAAAGGAAAGTTCACTCAGTAATAGACTGATGCTCGCAAAGAGGCCTCTGTTCTCTGCAGTCAAGAGCCTCATAAATTCCCCTTCACGGGAGGATTTTTCATCTCCCGGAGAAATGGGTCCTCAGGAAACTCCTTTTCCAGAATTATTTACTCTTTCAAAACCTAACAGAGAAAACACTACCGTAGAGAACACTAATGCACAAAATATCTTTGAAGAAAATATTTCTACAGGAAACACTACTCGGCCAGAACAAACCTTCCCTGAATTCACAAGCCGTAAGAATCTTTCCATGGCTAATTCTATCATTACTGCAGACGGCTCCGCGCCGACCGCTAAACAAGCCAACAATTCGCAATGGGAATACTACAGTGTGGGCACTGACTTGCCCTCCGAGGCCTCAGGCTTCACTGTGTCCAACCCCTCATCCCCAGGTGATCTATTTGAGATGCAGTTAAACCAGCAGCTACGGCCCCTCATCCCCAACAATGATGTGAGAAGGCTCATTTCTCACGTTATCCGGACTTTGAAAATGGACTGCTCTGAGACCCACGTGCAGCTGGCCTGTGCCAAGCTCATCTCCAGGACAGGCCTCCTGATGAAGCTTCTCAGCGAGCAGCAAGAGATGAAAGTATCCAAGGCAGAGTGGGATACGGACCAATGGAAAAATGAGAATTACATCAATGAGAGCAGTGAAGCCCAGGGTGAACAGAAAGGGGCGGATTCAAGGGAGGTGAGGATAACATCCCAAAATGTGGGATCTGGGCTTTTAGTCGGTTTCAGACACAGACCCACACACAAAGACCAGCAGCTCCTAGTCTGGGTCTTAGCCACATAACCTTGGCTAAGACAGTGATCTGCCACTTTGCTCATTTAGAAAACGGCACCACTATTCCCAAGGGTAGACAAGGGGAAGCCCTGACATACAAGATAAATTCTTGAAGAAGATGCTGATGATAAGATTACATATCACATTAGGTTTGGTATACTCCTTAAGAACCTGTAAGCGATGCATCTGAAAGAATGGGGTTTTAGAGTCATTAAAAAATAGTTAGCTTTCATCGTGTCTCTGTTTTCTAAACAAACTGTTCTTTACCTTTTTAGCTCACAAAAGAAGTTCCAGGTTATGGCTACAACAACAAGCTCATCTTGGCAATATCCGTGACTGTAGTAGTGATGATAGTTGATCATCGTTTTCTGTCTCATTGAGGTAAGGACAACAGTTAATTCAGATTTCCAGACTATGTTCCTTCTTTATAATAGATGCTGAACCCACAAGCTGAAAATCCAAGCCACTTTCCCACCTATCACTACTTAATATCCCTCTTCAGTCTGGAGAACTGAGATATACCTTGTCCATTAATTGCAAAGTCCCTTCCAGGGATTTAAAGGGACCTCACTGCCAGGAGATGCCTGTGGCCTGTGACCAAGATAACAAGCCATTAGATTGTTCTGAGACGTTAAGTTTAAGGAAGCCACAGTTGACGTGACAGTAAAATTTCTTCAACTCAAAAAAATTATGTCGATTTGATGCACTCAGCTGCCATTCTCCTACCACCACTGATTTCTTTCCTTGTTGGCTGAAATGATGAGAGAGATACAGTCTTCACCTTCGTGGAGCTATCAGTCATCCTGGAAGAAAGTACATGGCTTAGAGATAAGAGTGTCATCGTGCTGATGAATTAGATGCACTTAGCAGCTCTCTCCTCCACTTGGCAAGGCATCGTGTAAATAGGTTTGATCAAAACACCGCAGCTAAAATCCTGCATCAGGCTACTCAAAGCATGTCATGTTTACAGCTGCCTATTCCTGGAGCTTGCCTGTATTGAATATATGTTCAATAGATTTAGTCACACACACACACACACACATATATATATACACACACATATATATATACACACACATATATATATGGCTTATTACTTTTCCCAACAGGCAGGGGCTAACATTTTTAAAAGAGTGATTTAACAAGTTGACAGTCTTGACTCTATCTTACCTCCCTACCTAATTTACCTTATTTACCTTTTCTGCTGTCACGGCAGCCCTCCATTCCAGCCAAAGCAGCCCCTCACCATCCCCTAGCCAGACATGCCGATTCTTTTGTCGGTGACTTTGCCCATCTGAAATTCCCTTATTTCACTCTGCCTGTGGAAGTCCCATGATCTCTCAGAAGCCAACTCAAGTTCATCTTTCTTCATAAAGACTTCCCTGAATATTGTAATACTCCTGGTCCTGGTCCTTCTGGGAGAGTGTCACCATTTCTTAGGGTCCCAGTGACGCATTCCCCTCTCCTGATAACAAAAATATGCTAAGTAGTCTTTAAATTTTTAAAAATATTTTACTTGTTTCTGTCAGAGAGAGAGTGTGTGAGCAGGGGAGGGTCACAGAGAGAGGGAGATGCAGACTCTGAAACAGGCTCGAGGCTCTGAGCTTGCTGTCAGCACAGAGCCCGACTCGGGGCTCGAACCCATGATCTGTGAGCTCATGCATGACCTGAGCCGAAGTCGGACACTTAACTGACTGAGCCACCCAGGTGCCCCTAAACAGTTTTTAAAAAGCAGCTCTCCAAGAGAGAAACACCAAGGTCAACACATCACAGATCAGAGCAGTGATATGGAAGGCTTCCTAGTCTATCAGACATGAGCAAAACCTGACTGGCTATATTAACTGCTAAAGAGAAACATGTCTGTCTTCAGGAGGGTTGGTCAGTAGCAAAAGCGTAGAAATGGTGAGGAAGAGACCGGCATGGGCAGTGCCCAAGAGTGGAGATGGCACCTCAGGCAACAGATGAGGGTCAGGCCCACCAGCCGGGCCGTGTCTGTGGGGAGATGGGTGGATCTGGCTACCTCTGTCCTTTCCATTAAACATCGGATTCAGCTGACTACGTTTCTTCTAATTCTCTTCTCGCCAAGTAGCCCTCTGATTATGCGTCAGTGTGCCACAGAGGCCTGTCTCCACGGAAGGTAATTCCCAGCCACGTGACACAGATTACCTGTCTGTGGGACAGATTCTTTTCTCGCTGTCAAGTCATGGCCCGGGATTCTGATTTTGATCAATCCCGTGACACTGATAAGGTGAGATCGTCTCCATATAGGAAGAAGTGTGTTCTCTCTTGTCAAGGACAGAGTCTGACTTCTGAGCCTAGGAACTAGCATGGGCTCAACTTACCTACTACAGCCCCTGGAAAGAGAGATCATTGGCCATTGTCCAGTCAGTGCTATGCATCTTGAGGTGGCCTGTGGCCTTGCGCTTTGGGGGAAGTTCTATAAACTCCGATTGCTGCTTTAAATTCCTATGTAGTTTAACCTTGCATTTGTATTCTTTGTGTGGTTTCATTATTTCCTCTCCCTACTGAGATGACAAACTTTTTGAGGACAGAGACCATGCAGTGTATTTCCTGTAGTAGATGGTAGTGGTGCTCAAAGGAAGAGAGATAAGGCCTTATGTCGATTTCACAAGGAGGACTAATGCCGCCTAATATTTATGTGAGGTAGCATACAGAGTCCGGCAATAGACAGACCCATGGGTCACTAGGACTTTTGAAATGTTACCTTTTAGAGGCTCCTGGGTGGCTCAGTCAGTTAAATGTCCGACTTCAGCTCAGGTCATAATCTCAGGGTTCGTTTGTTTGAGCCCCACGTCGGGCTCTCTGCTGACAGCTCAGAGCCTGGAGCCTGCTTTGGATTCTGTGGCTCCCTCTCTCTGCCCCTCTCTTGCTCTCACTCTGTCTTTGTTGCTCTCAAAAATAAACAAACACTGAAATGTTACCTTTTAGTATTCAAATCAGTGGAAGAAAATCAATGGCAATAGAACAGCTGTGTAGTTAGTTATTTGGGAGGAAAGTAACGGCAGATCCCTATTTCTCACCTTAAAAAAAAAAAACCTATTTCAGTAAATGTAAAAAAAGAGGAAAAAGAACCCATAAAAGTATTAGAAGAAAACGGAAGCAATATTTTTATAATCTTGTGGTGAGAAAAAGCTTTGGGACCTGATACCATAGGCAGAAACCTTTGATAGATTTGGTCATCTCGACTGGCTTATGCCAAGCATAGGGAAAAGAATTTTCCACCGCTGATCTGCCCCCACAGTTCTGTGAGGACAGCCTTACCATCCTTCGTCCATACATAGAAGGGGATCCGCTTACGGCGCCTGTGGCAAAACGCAAAGCCGGCCCCAGTTGTGCCTGCAGCCAGCCCGTGCTCCTCTCCCACTGTTCTGTCTCCTTCACGATGAAAACACTAGCAAATACTCGAAACACTGAAACTCAGTGAAAGCCCATGAAAGGATTAATGTATTTCATCGGAAGAGAGTTTTATGAATCAACAGGAAGAGGACAAACACAGGGGACCGGGGGCAGGACTGCGACAGAGGGGAGGCCGTCGACCATCCATCGCCGTGTCTGCCGGCCTCTCCTCGTGGCTTCGGGCCGTGGGTCTTGTCAGCAGTGCCTTTTCTCCTCATAGTACAACAGTAGTCTCTGAAGTTTTCGTCTGTACTCATAATATTCGTTGTGATTTATTATTATTTTTCTAATCTGTATGGAACCCGGTTGGTGTTTTGGGACAGTCGAGGTGGGGGATCTAACTTCTTCCGCTTACCTAAAGATCCAATTACTTTGAAGCCGTTTCTTGAATGGTTCATTCTGTCTTCACTGATCTAAAATACGATTTTTATCTGGACTCTATTCTCTCAGTCTGGTGTTCTTTTCCTGTACCCATATTACACTACGTACTTAAGTTCCTTTATAAGAACACATTTGAATGTCTGCTCTGTGATCTTCTTTTTCATACATTTCGTAGCCAGGCTCGCACATTCTACCAAATGTCAGCTGGCCAGTTTTTGTTTAAAGGACTATCTTGAGATCTGAATAGGATTGCATTGAATTTGTAGGTTAATTTGAGGGGAGTTGACATCTTTACAGTATTTTAGCAGCATGTATTTGTTTCTTCTTAATGTCCTTCAGAAGAGTTTAAATGTTTTCATCTCATAGGTCTTACCCATTCTTTGCTAAGTTTATTCCCAGGTACTTTATGCCTTTTTTACTGATAATTGTAAATGGGATCTTTCTTCAGTTTTTTTCACTAGTATTTGTGGAACATAGGAAAGCCATTGAGGTTTACATGTTGATCTCTTGATTTCGTATCTAGCCATCTTACTGAATTCTTATATTACTTCCAATAAAATTTTAGTGGACTCTCTTGGGCCTTTTGGTTTTTCCATAATTTCAAATGCCAATATGTCGTGTCTCTTCCTTTCTAAGACTTCATTTTTTCCCCAGTGCATCAGTTAGGACCCCCTCCATAGCGATGAATAGCAGCAGTGATAACAGACATCCTACCCTTGTCCTGGACTTTAAAATAGTGCTCTGGTTTTGGTTTCTGGTAGACACTTTTCCTCCTCCTAAGAATTTTTATTAGGAATTATCTGTTGAATGTTATCTAAAATGGTCAATCCAATGTATTTCCAGCTGCACACAAGTTAGGTGCTGCGGAAGAGTCCAAATCCTATTAAACAGCAATTCCCGTCCTCAAAAAAGTTATCATCTCACTGGGCAGGTGAGACGTAAAGTGCAAAGGAATGTGGTCATTGCAATGGGTAACTGTGATCGTGTTTTCTTCCAAAACAGATTTATTCTCATAGAGCAGCAGTAGAGGAAAGTAAAGAAGGAAACTCAAGGTAAATATTAGTCTGGCAATCATTAAAGTAGAATTTAGACGTAGATTTTCAAACTCATCTATTTCAATCCTCATGTTTTACAGCCAGGAAATCACCAAAAGCAGAAAGAATATTTGGCGTAACGCTTTGCCTGGATCCAGCAAAATTAGCTTCCCAGCCAAACCTGAGTTAGAATGGGGCTGGCACAGAGAATCTAGACCTTTAAAGAAAGAGCATGGGGTGGGGGGCGAGGGCGGAAATGTTGTTCGTACCTGTTCCTGCTGGCGGTGGGCATCCGGCCTGGCCAGAGACCTTCTCGGAGGCTCTGGAGAAGGGACAGGGAGGGCCAAGACTCGTGGGGTTAAGGGGCGAGTCTTCAAGGCTGATGGAAGGTAGAACACATGAGTCCTTCCTATAAAGAGGCAGGAAAACTTCCCTCCTCCTCCTCCTGGTTTTTGAGGCCCCATTCTGCCAGAATGGTCCCTTTATCCAGACCCAATGAAATTTTAACTGGGAGAGACCTTGCATGATTAGTTATCTCTTCGTTTTATAATAATGAAATGGAGAAGGAGAAAGTGAAGAGGTCTTGCCCCATGGTCATACTGCTAGTGAGGGGCAGAAAGAAGATGGTTCCTTTCCAGTTGGGCACTTCTCTGATTACAGTGTTCTTGGGCTGCGAGCTACATTTTATGTCACGACTCAGTGCACACAAACTGTATAGACATAAGTAGTTTCTAAAACAAACTTACTATACACCCAGATTTTTCTGTGCTTTTTTTTTAAGTTTATTATTTATTTTGGTGGGGAGGGGGCGGGGGTGGGGTGGGGAGAGAATTCCAGCAGGCTCCGCAGTTGCCAGTGCAGAGCCAGACACGGGGCTTAATCTCATGATCCGTGAGATCATCTCTTGAGGCAAAATCACGAGTTGGCCGCTCATCTGACTGAGCCACCCAGGAACCCCCTATTCTGTTTGTATTCAAAAAGAATATTTTGTGTTTTAGTGCTAGTCATGAGTTTTAAGGTGGTTTCACGACTCACTCATCTGCCTGACGTGTGAAAGTCAGTGAGCTAGATAACTTTGCTGGTTGGACTCAAGCATTCACTTGGTGCGATTCAACTTGTAAGATAAAGCAGCTAGGAAAATGGAAGCACCTCCCCACCCCCCAGCAAATGATGCCTGTGAGGCTAAGTCCGACGGGGACCCGTGTAAAATGCTTCTGGAGAGAGTTAGGTGCTTCTGCCATGTGGTCACCCAGTTTGTTGACCGCACTAGGGCACTTGGCCAAGGGCCCAGAAGGTGAGTAGGGTGAAACCCTGTTTATACTCCATGCCAAGCCACATACAAAGGTCTCCCAGAGACACCGTGGGGCCATTATGGACAGACACAGGAAAATTCTGAAAGCCCAGCATATACAGAACTATGTTTGAGATCCCAGGTCTGTGTTGGTTTTGCTTGCTAATAAGACCGGAGATCCACGTTGTGAGAGGCGTGGAAGACGGCACGAATCACTAACAGTCTGCCTGTGTGTTTCCTCCAAGGGGCTTCTTCCAATCTCTGCTGGGTCGGAGATGCTCCACGGAAAGTGACAATCAGGTAAACCCGAGGAGGATGAGGTCCCATGGCTGGAGAGGCAGGGGAAACAGAACTGACGTTGTCCTTCCCGTTTCCTAGGAGGGCTTTTTCTGGATAAGGCGGCCACTGTGGCTCAGGGACATGTACAGACCTCTCAACGCCACACGCAAGAAAAACATGGCACAGAAGCTGCATGACAAGGATTCTTCTGATGAGGATGAGATTTTCAACAAGGAACCAGGGTGCATGATGGGGGAAGATTTTGTCTGAAATGAGGAAGTTATGAAGGGTTGAATTGTTCCTTTCAAGAGTCAAAGCCTTGGCATTCTTCTTCTTTTCCCAGGGAGTCCAGTGAAGCCGCAACAGAGAAGGCTCAGGCCACAGATTCCACTGCTGACGAGCTGACCTACGAGAACGAGACAGGGCATGACACGGTCACCGAGTGAGCCCCGTCCTGCCTCTGGCCGCCAATAAAGTTTATTTTCTCATACTGGCTTCTCAGCATTGCTTGTGAAATACTTATTCTTCTCATATTAAAATGTATAAGTTCATAACCAATTCTAGCCATGTGGTAGGGAGTTGAAATGTAAACAGTTAAAGATGTCTATGCAGGCGACCGGGGCCACAGGCGAGAGAAGCGGGAGCTAGAGTCCCTCGAGGTATAGGCAGTGCTTGCACAAGGCGCCGTGCAGGCAGAGAAGGGCGAGCGGGGCGTCTCTCCCTCATTTCCTGGGTACAGTCAGTCTCTGAAAACTGGAAACCTGTCTTCAGGCGGCTTCGACCATTAAGTCAATTAGTAGTTTCTTCTGGCGCCCTCTCCCCTGGCTCACCAAGCGTCAGTTACTCACAATGCTCCTGACCCCCTGCCCGTGGACTATGGTATCTTTCTGGCCCCTCTGGAAGGTCTCTGGGGGTCACCAGAACACTTGGGTCGCCGGGCCCACCTCCGCTGTCCGGCTAAGGCCTCTCTTCCCACGCACTCCAGCTCAGGCACAGAATGCGTAGTTGGAAGCAGGGGGCTCTTCACCCTTACCAGCTAGTGGATAAATCACATTGGGTTTTCTTGTTTGTTTTCTTTAAAAAAAATTTTTTTTTTGAGTCCTAACCCTTGGAGAGCTAGCAGGGAGGGGCTAGACGGCTAGAGTACAGAAGGTGCGAGAGCAGGAACTAAGCAAGACTGCCCTCCTCCAACCTTTACTCCAGAAAACATACTGCTTACCTGGTCACACGCACGGCCCGAGCCCCTCCTGACCCCGCCGCGGTGGGGCGTGTGCTGCTCGGCCCTCTGCAGTCCAGCCCGGCGGCCGAACCGACCACTGCCTTCCTCGCCCAGCACAGATCAGGGCTGCACGATTCCAAGAGAGAACGCAGGGCAACGTGCAGAAGGTGCAAACATCCCGCTGCTCATGCAGCAGAGGGCGTTAACCTGTCCCAGTGAGGATGTCGGCAAGAGTCCGGGGCGCCTGGGGGCTCAGTCCGTTGAGCGTCCAACTTCGGCTCAGGTCATGATTCCATGGCATGGGAGTTCGAGCCCCACGTTGGGCTCTCTGCTGTCAGCACAGCCCACCTCAGATCCTCTGTCTCCCTTTCTCTCTGTCCTCTCCCCGTCCCGCTCACACGCTCTCTCTCAAAAATAAACAAACATTAAATAAACAATTTATTTTTTTTTTCTTTTTTAATTAATGACATATTTTAGAAAAAGGATGTCAGAGTCAAAATACAGCAGCAAATAAAAGAAATTCTGAATGAACAGTTTGATACTCTTTTTTTTAATGTGTATTTATTTATTTTGAGAGAGAGAGCATGCAAGAGGGGAGGGGCAGAGAGAGAGGGAAAGAAAGAATCCAAGGCAGGCTCCGTGCTCCGTGTGGAACCCCATGCAGGGAAGGGACTTGACCTTACGAGGTGAGATCACAACCTGAGCTGAAATCAAGAGTCGGACGCTTAACCTACCGAACCACCCAGGCACCCCTGATAATCTCTTTAAATAACCACAAATAAATGCTGGTGGCTTAGCGACAGGTGGTGGAGAATGGCACCAACCGCTGGCCACCACGGGAGGCGCCGGAGGGCAGCAGAGGACAGGGCCCAGCCCGGCCCAGCGTGTTTGGCAGGGTGTGTGGGGCTCAGGGCCGAGCGACTGGCCCATCAGTTCCTCTTCTGCTTTATTAGTTTGCTGGTGCTGGGCAAGGACTCCTGTTCTCCTGGGGCCGGTCCAGTTCCCCCAGCGTTTTAGTGAGACTGGCCAACAATTATCTGTCTCTGAGTGGTGACGTCAGTGAGCCAACAGGTATTTCCTGTGTTTAAAGCACAAGCCTAGACAGTAACAGTCATCGGCAGCAGCAGCGGCAGCTAGTTTACTGTTTGCTTACGTGGGGTCAAGCCCTGGGTTGGGCATTTTGCAGTCTTAATTGAGCCCAAGAGTCCGTGAAAACATACTTTATTATCCTCATCTGGCAGATAAGGGGACAGGGCTCAGAGGATGTAGGTAACCTGCCCAGGTGCCCAAAGCCACAAACCCCAAGCTGTCAGTCAGGGGTTTAATCCAGGCCTGGTAACTCCAGAGCCTACTGACCGTTATACTACCACACTGCAGGGCTCAGGGGTGCAGAGAAGTCTAAGCCAGGGTTACCACAAAGAATCAATAATTGCAATAAACGTACTGATGATGAGGACGGTGGCAGCTACTGTTTGTTGAGCACCTGCTTTGGGCAGGGACAGGACTAGGCTCTTTCGTTACTGTCAGGTCACAAGGGCAGAAACTCCTCATGCCAGCTCAACCTCCTTAATGAGCTGTGTGGAGCGGGGTGGGGGCGGTGGTGACTTTTTAAATAAGAGAGGTGGACACAGAGGCAGAGCTGACAAGAAACCAAGAAGAGACACCTGTGCATAGTTGGGCTTCACGAAGTGTGGGCCGGGATTCCAGGAAACTCCATTCTCCTATTTTCGAATATTTCCATTAGTTCAAATGTGGTTCATAAAGTGAAGCTTAGATAATACTGTGTATATAACACTACCTCAAATTTGCACACTACTTTAATGAGTCTCAAATGCTACCCTACCATATATTTTTTTAATGTTTATTTTTGAGAGAGAGAGAGCGAGCGAGAGTGAGACAGCACATGAATAGGGGAGGCACAGGGAGAGAGGGAGACACAGAATCTAAAGCAGGTTCTAGGCTCTGAGCTGTCAGCGCAGAGCCCAACACAGGGCTCGAACCCATGAACTACAAGAATATGACCTGAGCCAAAGTCAGACACTTAACTGACTGAGCCACCCAGGTGCCCCTACCCTGCCCTATTTCTGAATTAAAATTCCCAAGGGTAAGTAAGATTCTACCTTGTCCAGCTTGATCTAGATGGGGCAGTGTTTTTGCCAGAGCCCAGAGGCTTTACCAGGCCAGCCTGGAACGAGCCATCTCTCCTTGGATCAGTATACACCCCCGGCTGTAGCCTGGGAGGGGAGGAGTGCCCAGGGTCAGGTGGTACACGTGATACCTGGGCCCCTAGGATATCTCTGTCTTCATTTTACCATTGGGCAAATGGTCTCAGAGCCCAGCTCCTACAGGAAACCTGAGGGATAGAAAGAGAGGGGGCCGCAAGCCACCAGTTACTAGTGAATGAAAGTTCTCACTCTGATCCCAATGAAACCTGTCAGAGAAATTAGCCATTTTTAAAAAGATCACGAAAGGAGGCAATGATACAGAAAAGACACACGGTAGCGGGTGAGACAAGGAAAGGTTAGGCAAGCCCGGGGCAGGGGTGGTCTTTAAATGATGGGGGGGTTATACTCAAGGAATGTGATACTCAAGAAAATTTATATGTTGTTGTCATGGCAAGTATTATGGTCTAGAGAAAGACTTGGAGCCTGGGGCCAGAGTCCCCAACCATTACGAGGGCATCGTTCGTTAATATGCCAGCTTAGAGGGCCTCACGTCTGTGTGGTTCGACCCCACTGTGTGGTTAGACAGTGTTATTATCTGCTGTGCAACAGATCACACCAAAGTAGGGGCTTAAAACAACAACAGGCAGGGGTGCCTGGGTGGCTCGGTTAAGCATCCGAGTTAGGATCAGGTCATGATCTCACAGTTTGTGGGTTCAAGCCCTATGTCGGGCTCTGTGCTGACAGCTCAGAGCCTGGAGCTTCTTCGGATTCTGCGTCTTCCTCTCTCTTTGCCCCTCCTCCACTTGCACTCTGTGTCTCTCTCTCAAAAATTAAAAAAAATTAAAACAACAATAAGCATTTATTCCTCAAAAAAGATTTTCTTAAATGTTTATGGAGTGGGGGGGAGAGAAAGAGAGAGTACAAGCGGGGAAGGGGCAGAGAGAGAGACACAGAATCCGAAGCAGGCTCCAGGCTCTGAGGTAGCTGTCAGCACAGAGACTGACATGGGGCTTGAACTCATGAATTGTGAGACCATGACCTGAGCCAAGTCAGACACTCAACCAACTGAGCCACCCAGGTACCCTATTCCTCAAAAATCTTGAGTCAAAATTTTGGGAATCGCTTGGGCAGCTCTGGCCCTGGGTCTTTTGTGAGATTCTCAAGATACCACCCAGGGCTGCATCATCTGAAGGCTTGACTGAGTTGGAAGGGTCCACTTCCTAGGGGGCTCTCTCACGTAACATGGCTGCCAAGGGGGTTGGAGGGAGCCCTCAGATACTCACCATATGAGCCTGTCCACATGCCACTTGACTGAATGTCCTCACAGCATGATGGCTGGCTACCTCCAGAGTGAGTGATCTGAGAAAAAGAGACAGAAATGACAGAAGGAGGGGCGCCTGGGTGGCTCAGTCGGTTAAGCATCCGACTTTGGCTCAGGTCATGATCTCACGGTTCATGGGTTTGAGCCCCACGTCGGGCTCTGTGTTGAGAGCTAGCTCAGAGCCTGGAGGCTGCTTCAGATTCTGTGTCTCCCTCTCTCTCTGTCCCTCCCCTGCTCATGCTGTCTCTCTCTCTCTCTCTCAGAAATAAATAAAACATTAAAAAATTAAAAAAAAAAAAAAAAAAGAAATGACAGAAGGGTCCCTTCTATGACCTGGCCACACAAGGCACAGAGCAACATTTAGCAGTGACTTAATCGCTAAATCCAGCTCACATTCAAGGGGAGGGAATTTAGACTCCACCTTTTATTTTTTAATTTCTTTAAATTTTTTAGTGTTTATTTTTGAGAAAGAGAGAAAGACAGAGCTCAAGCGAGAGAGGGGCAGAGAGAGAGGGAGACACAGAATTGGAAGCAAACTTCAGGCTCTGAGCTGTCAGGAGAGTCCAACGCGGGGCTGGAACTCACCAACCGCGATATCCTGACCTGAGCCCAAGTGGAATGCTTAACCGGCTGAGCCACCCAGGCACCCCTAGACTCCACCTTTTAAAGAGAGAAGAGTCAAAGAATTTGTGAACATATTTTAAAACTACCAGAGCCAGGAAAACAAACCGTTCTAGATATTTCAAGCAAAAAAAAGATGTCATACAAGCATTGGTGCTCAACACTGGGGGGGGGCGGGGTAGTGGTGGTGAGTGGTAGGGGCAGGTGCAAATCGCACCCCTCGCTCTCAGGCTACTTTACCACAGCTGCTTCCCACAGATTCAAAGTTGCTGCTGCCACACAGAAAACTTGGGGAGCCCACTGCTGAGGTCACTGCAGATCCCCCAGCCCCAAGCCCGCTGACTAGTAGGGGAATGTGGAGTTGGCCGCTACAGAGGAGAAAAGAATGGCTTCCACCTCCTTCCCACCTTCCAAACTTCACACAGGTACATTTTATGGGCAGAAGTCCGCTGTCAAGGGAATCTGTGAGAAGGGGCTAGAAACGGGTGTCGAGAGCCAATACACATTATCCAACAAACCTCCTGTTTTTGGTGGGCTTGTGGGTAGGTGTTCAATGCTTTGTAAGGGGGGGGGGGGCGCTGTCTACGTGGAGGAACATGGTAGAGAGCAAAGTCCGAGACCCTAACAGGTGTCATTTGAGCCGGGCAGCAGTTGAAGCACGGGATGCTGACGACATCCAGTCATCCCCACAGGTGACTGTAGAAGCGCCTGAAGTTGATTCTTAGTTCCATCTCTGGAATGTTCTCACTGGAATTTAAGCTAGATGGACCATTGGCAGCGCAGTATCTGAGAAAACAGGGCCCCATCCCAAAGGGCTGCCAGAGAAAAGATGTCCATAGGGGAAACATGATTGTTCAAAATATAGCCTTTGGACTTCTATACTCAAACATCCCTGGGATGCTTATTTAAAAAGCGGATCCTCGGGGCGCCTGGGTGGCTTAGTCAGTTAAGAGTCCAACTTTTGCTTAGGTCATGATCTCACGGTTCGTGGGTTCGAGCCCCACGTCAGGCTCTGTGCTGACTGCCAGCTCAGAGCCTGGAACCTATTTTGGAGTCTGTATCTCTCTCTCTCTGACCCTCCCCTGCTCACGCTATCTCTCTCTCTCTGTGTCTCTCTCTCTCTCTCTCTCCTAGAAATTAAAAAAAAAAAGCGGATCCTGAAAATAAATTGATTTTAATTTAAAAGACTGATGGGGCGCCTGGGTGGTGCGGTCAGTTAAGCATCCGACTTCGGCTCAGACCATGATCTCACGGTTCTTGGGTATGAGCCCCGCGTCGGGCCTGTGCCGACAGCTCAGAGCCTGGAGCCTGCTTCAGATTCTGTGTCTCCCTCTCTCTCTGCCCAACCCTCCTCCCCCCATCCTTCCGCACACACCTTGTCTCTCTCTCAAAAATAAACATTAAAAAAAAAAATTAAAAGCCTGATCCTGCACCCCTCCCCTGATGAAAATAAACAATACCAGACACTACTTAAAGGAATCCAGACAGATTTCCTTCAGTAACAGTATTGCAATAGTGTAGGGGAAAGTGTTCATCATGAGCAGGCACTCAACTGGGATTATTACAGGGGTGATTGGGTATTTCACAGGGAGGATGGGGGACTGGGGAAGCGAATGAGTGGGGGTTCTCAGAAGTGAAAGCTTACAAAAAGCAGGAAGGGTCGCTGGCCCATACGAGACCCCCCTTGTTTTGCTAACTGACACTTATCAAAGTTAGGCTCCTACCTTCTCACAGAAGCTGGGAGACAGGGGCCCTCTCTTCAGTTGTTGGCTGGAATTTAGCAGCATCTCCTTCAGACAACCGTGACTTTCGCAGGCAGGCACTTTAAGGGAGGCTAGGGTCCCACTAGGGACGTGGCCACGAGCCGCTAGAAACTAAGTTCGTGTTTGTTCACGTCTTCACAGGCCAAGCAAGGCTGAATCAAAAAGAGGGCTCGGGGGAGCCTGGCTAGCATCTGGAGAGAGTGAGAATCTGTCACCCTCCAAACCCACACGCCCACCCCTCCGGAGCCTGGGACCACTTTGATAAGCCTTTTTATGCTTCACCAAACTACTGAAGGAGGACACGGAGGACCGGGAGGTGGGGGAAGCAGAGGTTCTCTGGCGGCTTCGGGGCTGGAGGTCAGCAGGGATTTGCAGGTGCTGGGGGGGAGGGGGGGGAAGGGCAGAGCAGATTGAGGATGACCAAGAGGCTCAACTGGATTCTTAACCTGGGAGTCCCGACTGGTCATGCTGGCCAGCTCCTCCCCCGATGGGATCAGGGCGTCTCAGGCCTGGGGAGCACCAGGCACAACCAGCTCTGTCTCCTGAGATCCTGGTGGGGATGGAGCACCAGCTGGGTTAGGGTTAGCCCCAGCTGGGGGTGGTGGGGAGCACTCTCATTCAAGAGGAAGAAAAGTCCTGAGGTCCTGAAGCAGAGCCAGGAACAGCTGCATGTGTTCGAGGGCAGCGTGGAGTGTTTCAGCTTATGGGGCCATAGGAAATGAAGATTGTCTTACTATCTTTTGCCACAGCAATGTTAATAAACCATCCTCAAAACTCGGGATGCTGGGAAACCGATTCTCATGGGCTGGCCGGTACCGCCGAACCTTAATGCCCCCTCGCTGGCTGGGTCAGTGCTGCTTCTCACTGCGGGTCTTTTCCTCCCATGGTGCTTCCCGCCCAGGCTGAAGAGGCAGCGGCTACCCAAGAGATGCATCAGAGAGCGAGCAGGAAGCCATCGGGCCTCTTCAAGCCAAAGCACGGGACTGTCACACTTTCATTTCTGCCCGTTTCATGGGTCAAAGCAAGTCACATGGCCCAGCCCTGAGCCAAAGAATGGAAAAGTACACCGTGTCCAGGAGGAGACGTGGGTGCGGGGAGGGCCGGTGAGTCTATCCCACCCAGAATGTAACTGAGTCCTGGTTTAGAGGCTTCACATGGTGGCCTTGCTCTTCTAGGCATCACCTGTGAGTGGAGCAGAGTGAAAGACAGCCTCAGTGTCAATGTGAAGATGCCACCACAGTTCTCTATTAGGTTGGGAACACTGACAAGGCAAGAATCACATCTCCTTCCTCTTCTCAACGCCTAGTACCAGACCCTGCCCTCGGGGCTGACTCAGGGTTTTGTTGGGTGAATTTGAGACCATTTCTTCATTCTCTGCATACAATTCCTTATGTAAGACAGACTGACCTCCTAAAGGCCAGCACACTGTGCTTTCTGTTTGCCCCATAAGCTGCAAAGGGACTGTGCCATTGGGAACTGGGATTTGTGCCTAGATCTGTCTACACCGAGTCCTGTATCCAGTCCCTCCCATGGGGACCTCCTGAAGAAGGGACTTCCACAGGTAAACATCAAAACAGGGTGCAATCTCTAGTGAAATTTCTTTCTCCAGAGGCCTTTTGAAACTGGAAAGATTCACATTCCTGAAATATGCCAAGAGGGAAGCTGTCTAAAGGCACAAGGCTAGTGAGGTATCTGTATGGACTTAGGGACAATTTGAAAAACAGTGAGATTCACTGTCAAGGCCCCCGCATGGCTCCTGGCCTCCCTCATCATCTCTTTTGCCATCTCGTCAGAGCAAAGGCAGAACCCGCCCCAGACGCTGTGCCTTAACTGCGGCCTTTCCCTGCAGACTTCACACTCCAAAAGAGAACCACCTGAAGAAAGCCATGATTAACCCTAAGGAATGTCACCATCACCACGGGATACCAGGCACCGGGCATGCAGGCGGAAAGCATATTTTAGGGCAGTGACTCACGGTAAGTTGTTTCCTCCAGTCCCTACAATGGACTGGTCAATGTCAAGCTGTCTCAGGCTCAGGCTGATAAAAGCACAGCCGCAGGGAACCTCGTGTTGTGGGTGGCATTGTCACGATACAAGTATATACACACTGCTGATAACTTGCCCAAGTTCACAAAGACAGTATATCAGTCGCCATTTATGCTCCACGTGAAAGAAATCCAACATATGCTTAAACCAAAAATCTCATACAGTGTATTGGCTCATATAACCAGGAAGCCTAAGATCTTTGAGCTGGCTGCATCTAGCTCTCAAACAACGTCATCCTCTCCCCATCTGTCACCTCAACAGAGGGGGCTTTCCTCCGTGATGGCTTCACGTCCCAAAGGACGCATGCCCCAAGATTGCAAAGAGAGTCATTAGTAACCCCAACTCTACCCTGACGTGGAGCAAACCTGACAGAGGAAAGCCCATCTTTGAAAGGCCTCTGATTGGCCTGCCTGGCCCCTGTATCTGGCAGGAGGAGGCGCTGATTGGCCAGCTATGGTCATGTGCACCTGCAAAGTCAGGCCTTAAACCCATGCTTAAGTCCCTGCTAAAGCACAGGAACCCAATGGAAAGTCAAGGGAGGGGTTGTTTCACCGCAAGTTGAGGGGGTGAGGTGGAAAATGCAGGATCGGACATGGAAGCTAGATTGAACTAACCCTAAGCCTAAACTCGGAACAAGCTTTCACACGTTCATAGATGCTGTGGTGCTAAGTAAAACACAAATTCACTTAAAAGCAGGAGTGCCCCTTGTGGGGATGAGACTGGCTGTTATAGGGAAACCAACTTGACAATAAACTATTAAAAAAAAAAAAAAAAAGAGCAGGAGTGCCTTCATAGCGATTTTTGGTCCTTATGTATTTTTTGTCCCAATTAATAAATATTAAAGGTATAACTATAATCAAGAGCAGATCCAAAGACCATGCTATTTTTCAATATTTGATAGGGATTCTTAATTGCGGATGTGCTCCAGCAGGTTTATGAAAGCAAGGAGAGAAGGGAGCCAGGAACAGTCCAGCCCAGGAGGCAGCAAAGGAAGGTTCCGGGAAGGTAGCTGAGGGAAATGGCACTAACTGCCAGGCCAGAGCACCGGAGCGGAGTGCAGGAGTGATGATGGCAGGCTGCACAGAGAGAGAAGAAATTAAACCCCGGGGGGCAGGGGACAGAAATGAGTGGCATTGAACTACATGAGGAGGCTCTGCGCTGAACGATACTTACATAGTCACAATTCTGTAAACGCTATCAATGATGGGGCAAGGGTGACAGAACTAAGCCCCAGGAATGGACTGGGTGGGGGGTGTTGAAGACCTAACTCCTTGCTCGTGTTGCTAGGAAGTCCACAGACAGGCTCTAAACTGGATGAATTGAGGTGCCCGTGTAGCTCAGTCGGTTGATGTCAGCTCAGGTCATGACCTCACGGTTCGTGGGTTCAAGCCCTACAGTGGGCTTTGTGTTGACAGTGCACTCCTGCTTGGGATTCTCTCTCTCCTTCTCTTGCTCTTTACAAAAAAATTTTTTTTTTACATTTTTAATGGATTAACCAAGAGCTAGAAATGCAAGATGGCTGGAAATAAGTACCAGAAGATTCAGCTAGAAGTAAGGAGGACCGAGGACTGGTGAGCTGACCCAGGAGGGTGGGGATGGTCGAAGGAGGGGGAAGGCAAGAAGCTTCTGTGGTCATTACGTTTCCTCACCATTTCATTCCCTACTATTTGGACTGTAAACTATATGCATAATAACATTTGGGAGGCTTAAAAAAAAATCCATGCTTTTGTCAATTACACCTCAAAGCTTTATTTGTGACCAACTTTATTGAGATATAATTGACAAATAATTTTTTAAAACCCTTTAAATCCACTTTTTAAAAGAGAGTGAGAAGAACCAGCTTCCTACAACAGAAGCCAGGAGAATATTAGCTACTCCGGTTTCAAGAGAAACAGCTGCATTAATACTAGTTTGATGATTTCATTCAGATACCAAGTAAGGATACATCTGGGTCTCAACCCAGAAAGGCTCTCACTCAAGTGCTCAGACAGCAGTTAAAAACAGAGATCCGACTGGATTGGAAAGGTAAGAATTAGCCAAACCTGTAATAGTAATAGTAATAATAATAATAATAATAATAATACAGCTAGTCATCCTCCAGTGCTTACCAAAGACCAGAAACGGTCCTGAGGATATTATCTTAGTTAATCCTCATGGCAACTGATATTTTCCCCAATTTACAGATGAGGAACTGAGGCTCAGATAGTTTGGGGAACTTCCCTGAAGTCACACTCTCTGGCCCCTCCGCCTGAGGCGAAGGGGCCTCAGAGTGTTGTGATTTACTTCTCTTTTCTAATCTTGAATCAGACTTAGAAGTTTCTATCTCTGGTGCTACCTCAAGGGGCCCATGAAAACCACTGACTGGGGCAGTGGTCTTTACCCCACATTTGCTGGGTTGTGCTGGGCCCTGCGCTGTTTTTGGAAAGGCCTAGAAAACAGTGTGGGGTAGAGCTGTATTCAGACCTAAGCATTCCTGGCTCCAAAGCCCACTTGGTCTGACACTGAAGGATGATTCTAGCTCTCCAACTAGAATTGGAGCTGGGGGGAGAATTCCAGGGTACCTGGTAGGAATTGTGTGACCTTGGGCCCCCAAGTTACTTAAACTCTCTTAAGCCTGTTTTCTTATCTGTGCTATGGGGATAACAATGGCACTCACCTTCAGGGTGGTTGATAAGGATAAATCAAAATTCCTATCTGGCAAACAAGAGGAGCTTCTACTTTCCACAACTGTTAAATCCCTTATACCCTTCAGCTCCTAGGTTAAGGAGAGATGCTCACATTTTTTTACACTTCAGATCCACCAGTGGTAGGGCAGGGGACAGAAAAGGTGCTTAAGCCTAAACTCTTGGGCTTCATCCCAGAGTGACTCTCCAGAGCAGGCATGGGGTTCAGGAATCTACACGTTGGACCCCCGGGAAATCCAGATGCCTACAGTTCTCCTACTTGGCTTTGAATAACCATGCACAGTGCTTGAAATCTAAGCTGACACACCAGGGCCTTTGTGAATGTCTGAGCCCTTCCTGCACTGACCTCCAGCCGTGTCTGGATGAACCTCCTCCCTTTCCCCATGCCCCAGTCTGTCTTGATCTCTCCTTCCATGCAAGTCCCCTCCCCTTACTCTGGTCTTATGTCCTAGCTTCCTCTCCACCCTTTCAGTGCACCCTCCCCTGAGCTCAGCCTGCGTTCCCACCCACCAGCCATTTCTCTCTTCACCTGCAAAGTCCTTTTCCTGTGCCCACCAGGAAGGCTCAGATAAAAGGTGATTCCTCCAGGATAACTTTCAAGGCCTCTTCTCTGACACCCTGGCACTTGGTGTGTACCTTTATTATTGCTCAAATAACAAGGTAATGTGAGTTTTTTTTCTGGCCTCAGACTCTCTGGTAGACTCATGGTCCTTGATTGGTGGAAATGTGCACCAGAGTAAGATGAAGAGAGGAAGTCAAGCCCTTAGACTTTGCAGAGGGGCCGAGAGGCCTGAGAAGTAAGAGAAGACCAGGAGATGGGGGCTCCTGAAAAGGTAGACAAGAGCGGGGTGCCCACCACTTTTGCAGACAGCAGCTGTGCAAAACTTCACTGGAGGAACCGAGGCCTGCTGCTTGCTCCATTTGGGAGTGGGGGTGCAGGACCATGCTATGTCAAGAGACTGACGCTCTTCATGTGCTAATTATAACCAGAAACACTATCCTTTTGCCCAGGAAACTGGATTGCCTTAGTAAACTCCTTACTTTCCAAGTTCTTCAACATTAATACTTTGCTTCTGTGTCCTTATTTATTTATTTTTAATGTTTGTTTACTTTTGAGAGGGAGAGCACAAGGGAGGGAGGGGCGGGTGGGGGGCGGGGGAAGAGAGCATCCCAAGCAGGCTCTGCACTGTTAGCGCAGAGTCCAATGGAGGGCTCGAACTCACAACTGTGAGATCATGACCTGAGCTGAAGTCGGACACTGACTGAGCCACCCGGGCGCCCCTCTGTGTCCTTATTTCTAATTGCCTGCTCAACTGTTAGCCATACTAAATGTACTCCGATTCATCTAATCGAGGAGAGGTGGTTCTCACTCTTGCGGAGAGAATTAGTGAAGGGGTAGCCAGCACACATTCAGGTGCCACATCTCCAACAGCTGGTTTTAGAAATGGAAACAGGCACTGGGACCCCTTCCCAGGAAGGCCAATGGAGCGCCTGGCCCAGATCAATGTAGCTTTCTTCCAAGAACTCTCCTGTTCCCAACATCCCCAAAGTCCCCCTGGACCTTCAAGTAGCAGTACCTCTCCACTCCAGCCCTCACCCCACCCTCAGGCCCTAAGATCCGATCTGACTTAAGCCTGCAGGTAAGTGTCCGAAGCACAAGACATCCCTCCCCACCCTCACCAACCGCAGCTCTTGATCTTTTGTTCTGAGTCCATCTGAAAGAGAAATGTCAACTCTACCAAGGAAAGGAAACAAACAACTACCTGGCTAGATGAGAATAACCAGACCCTTAAGCTTCATGTCTGGGGTCTGACGGGCACCAAAAGGCTCTCCCTTGATGTAAGGGGTGGTCAAATCCTGCATGCTTTTCCTGAGAGCCGCCAGGCGGGAAGCACCAAGTGAGCTGATGCCCTCAGGGAGGCAAAAATAGGGTAGGCATTATTGGTCCGATTTTACAGGTGGGAACCTTCACGCAGGAGGCCAACTCACAGCCCCAGTGTTAGACTCCAGGCGAAGTCATGAACCCAGAAGTCAGGCGCAGACACTGCTGGAGGCGGGACGTAGGACACGTTCCGCCCGACACTGGTGGGCCAGCCTGGTCGCCTCCCCTCTTAGCGCGCATCTCGGGTCCCCAGAGCCCAGAGCCTCCCAGACCGCTCAACGGCTCCGGGGCTGGTAGTTTGGGCTTTCCTGAGCGCTGGCCCCTCCCCCCCGTCCCGCCGGCCCTGCGATTGGCTCCGCGTTCCGGGGGGGCGGGGCAGGACGCCGAACCAACGTGATGGCGTCAGGCGCCGCGAGCGCCGTTTCCTGTTGTCACTGACCGGGAGGCCGCGGCGTCTGGTCGGAGGCTTAGGGGCTGCAGTGACCAAGAGTGCTCCCGGCCCCCTCCCCGCTCGCTCTGGTGAGTTAGGGGTACGGGGGCGAGAAGGGTGAGAAGGGACGGCGGGGCAGAGACGCGACCGGCGATGGGTCTCCAGCCCTGTCCGTGATCGCAAACCTCTGCTTGCTTTGAAACTGTCCTGCTTCAGAGCTTTTTCCCTTCCCCGCCTGAGCCCCGCACTCTACCCGACTCGGACCCGAGCCTTCAGCCCAAACAGCCAGTGCTGACCCGTCCCCTCCGTCTTCTCCACCCGTCACCCGAGCCCAGCCCTTACCTCAGCCCCTCACCACCGGTCTTGCGTCAGTGCAGCCACACTCGACCCCACCGGTAGCCCACTTCCAACCCCGAGCACAGCCACTTCCCTCCGCCTTCCTCGAACGCATCTCATTCTCACTCCTCAACCCCTTTGGCAATCCCAGTGCTCCACACAGACCTCCTCGAGTCCCCCCACCCCCACCCCCAGCCCCCACTCTCCGTCATTCTGGTTTATCCTTTATCTGGCTCAAATTTCTTATCCCAGTCCCCCTGCTCAGTCCCCCAAGGTCTGCTCAGCCCAAACACCCACCTCTCTCTACTCTCATTTAATACCGACCACGAAAGTAGATGATGCTCTATTGAGCTTAACCCCCTCTTGATAACTCTGATCTCAGCCCTGTCTCAAGTCTTGTATGTGTCTTCTTGTCCTCAGCCATTCAACCCCTAACTTTCGAGGTTACCACATACTTTCTTCCATCCTCAGCCAACCTGAGGCACTTCATTCCTAAGTCTTTGCTAAACCACCCCCCAACTCTGCCCCCCCCCACAAGTTCCTACCACCCCTACCCAATCTTGGTAGATGGAGGTTTCATCTCTTCCCCCGTTTCAACTCTTCTCCCAACTCTGGGATGTGTGGCCCACGTTTGATCTGAGAACTCAGTGCAATCCTCTGCCAACCCGCCTGCTGCCCTCAACACCAGCAGCAACCTAGGTGCTTTCTCAGAGCCAGGCAGTGGTGAACACCTCAGCTGATGCAGGGCCTCAGACGGTAAGTGTGGAGGAGTAGAGAGCCATCTCCCGTGGGTCAAGTGTTTTTCCTGGATGTCAAGTCCCCTGTACCTGTCCTCAAGGATTGTGTTTCTGGCATCCCTGTTACATTACTTGCGTTGGCTGCTGGCATGGTAGGTACCATCCAAATACCTGGAAGGCCAGGGATAGCTACTCATTCAGCCCGGAGCAGTGGAAGCTTATCGCTTCCTCTTGGATGATGATCTTGAGAAACTCAAGGAGTCCCCCTGTGTGGGGTTGGCTGTGGTCCCAGAATCACGTCCATGTGCGTTGCCCTGGCACTTAGAAAGGACCCTCACCCAGTGCTCCTCCTGGCCAGAACTGGTTGTAGATTAGTCCCACTACGGAACGTACCAGAGGTGACGTTACATATGAAGAGTATAGGTGAGGATCCTGGGGTCGCTGAAGTCTGCATGGAGGCTGTTGAATCGCTGCCTCTTTTTGCAGGTGCCGGATCATTGAGTTTTGACCATTTTGATTACCCATGAACACAGAGAGCCAAGTTATCTCAGAGGAGCTAGACATTCTTGAGGCACCCAGGCCCCCTTTTTAACATTTATAATCTCCTGGGCTTTTTGGGTGCCCATCCCCTCTAAGTTCTGGTGGCCAAAGGATTGGCCATTTGACAGCGATTGTAAAAGGGCCCTAAAGAGGACCCATTGTCTTTGCTTGCCATTTATAGTCTCACTTCTTTGAACACTGATTGTCCTTTTACCTTCAATATCCCCCTCCGTTAAGGTGCGATCTATCTGAAGGGTTTTAGCCTGTTGGCAGCTTCTTGTAGCGGAAAGAGTTCCAGAGTGGCCCCACCACAGAAAAGTTGTATGCCTTAACTTCTTACAGTCAGAAACAGAGATACCTGCCCTGAGCCTTTTTATGTTAGTCGTCTGTTCATTCAGCAAGTATTTTTTGAGCGCTACTGCGTGCCGTGCACTGCTCGAAGCACTAGAAATGAAACGGCGAATGAGTCAGGCATAGTTCCTGCTTTCATTCATTCAGAGTTTGGTCCTTGACAGAACTGTAAGGGATCTGGGACAAGAATATGGGAGAGATGGGTGTTTTGGGGCGGAAGGAGGGAGGGAGGAAAGAAAGATACCCGGTGTTCATAGACTTCACATTTCTGGCCTTACCCACTAGCCTTTGGACTGGGAATCACAAGCTAGAAGTTTCTTGCCCTCCAGCTGGTATTCATTTGCTTCATTGCCCCTGTTTCCCACCCCTCACAGGGCTCTTGTCTAGAAATCCAATTTTCTTCAGGTAGAAGGAGGTGCTATTTCCTCACTCAGCATTCACATGTCTGAAGTTTCAGCTGTCTTTCTGAATCAGAAGATAACTTTGTCATTTGTTTCCAACTGAAAACCCTGACTCATCACCTGGCACAACAGCTGGAGGGCTTAAACACCCGCCTGCTGTTGTGCGTAGCCAGGTGCAGGATCGAGTCAGGCCGTAGAGACGAGGCTGTCCCGGATGGCGGGAAGTCTCTGAGAAGAGGTTGCTGTTTGCTGATGAATGGAGTGCTTCGAAAGTGGTGAAGCCAGCTCATCCATTTCTTCTTTTAATGTAAGTCTCATCTGAGCCCTTCTCCTCTTTTCGTTCTTCCTTAGTCTCTGGAGGAAGTGAAATCGGATGTTTATAGAGGGCCAGGCAGTATCACGAAGAGAATCAACGACGATTCCTTCCTGGGTGTTGGAGCATACAGAAACCTGGCTGCTGTGGAAGGGACCTGTGCTCCCCTAGCTGGGGCTGCAGATCCGATGGGCAAGATCATTTCCTGTTAGTGTTAGGCCTTCTTTCATACAGTGGAGCTTCTGACCCTCACCTGAGGTGTGTTTCTCCTGAGCCTCAATTTTCTCCTCGGTGAAATGAGGGCTAATAATCCTTCTCTCACAGGATTATTTTAAGAATTAAATGCGGTGAGAGAATGAGATTCCGGGCCAGAGTAAGACAGTCTGAGGGGCAGAGGTAGGCTAAGGGTGGCTTGGGAGTTTTCTAAAGGCAGATGGCACTCACCTCTTCTGCTCAACTGCACCGACGGTGTTTGAACTCTCTGCCTGCTCTCTTCATTCCGGGTCTCCCGAAGACACACCCCTCTTTGGCTCGCTTCTTGGTGTCAGTGAAGACGGTTCTGAGGATAGAAAGTGAAACTAGTCCCTTAGTGCTGCGGAGTGGGAGCCTGGCCCACCCAAGGAGCCTGCTGGAGTGCCCACCTAGCAGTCAGGAGACCCAGAGGCCAGAGATCTCCCGTCGTAGCCAGCTGTGGGCCTGTCTCTGAGCCGTTTCCTGCCTTCCTGAGACTTTCTAGAACAGACAGGCCTAGGTAGGGGGCTTTGGCTTCCTGCAAAAAGAGATTTGCCCTGGACTTTGCCCTGATCCCCATGTCTCGGTTCTGTATTGTGAATTGTCAAGTGGCAGTTTTTCTGGATTTCTCTGCACTTTTGTCATTTTGTGGCTTTCCTGACAGTTTTAGGCCACAGTTGTCCCTTGTTTGGCCCTGCTCTGACCTCTCAGTGTCAGTTTACTTTGGCTTTTTTTTTTTTTTTAACAGACCCTGACTTGACCAGAGCACCCACTTACTGATCAGCCTCCCCGCCTCCAATGAATTCTCTATTATATTCAGTTAATTAGTTAATGAGGCCTTCATGGACCTGCTATTCAGATTGTAGAGGCCCAAGCCTCAAGGCTGAGGGAAGGGCAGTGTTAGAGCTTGAGGCTCTGTCTGGAAGGGCAGGCCTGAGGGGAGACCTTAGGCCCCTGGAATTGTCGAAGGGGATTGGATGCCAGGGTCTCAGAGCCAGAGAGCCTGAACTTGGCCTGCAGGGCTGCCTAGGGTAGCCTTGAAGAAACCCAGCCTCTAAGATCAGGCACGATTTCAGGAAGAGGGACTCTGTAGCACGGTCCCTTTTCCTGGTGCCCTGGTGGCCAGAGCATGGAGCTGGTCACCAGAGGAGGGTCCTGAGAATCCCAGGTGTGTAGGAGCTTGAGGGAGAGACAGATGGGCGGTGGCCAGGGACCAAGCGTTCTTCTGGCCAGTCTGTTGTGTGCTGACTGGAGCTGGTTTGGGGGTGGGGGGGAGTTGGCCTCCACACACACCTCCCTCCCTCTGCGTGTCCTTACTTAGGAAAGTTGGCGCTCGGTCCTGTCAGATCCAGAGGCCAGGGCTTGAATCAGAGCACCTTTATCATTTGGGGCCACCCTGATGCTCCCTTGCACCCTGTCACCTGGGCCCCCAGCTGAAGAGCCCTCCTCCCAGACCCCCCGTTCAGCTCGGGTCATGATCTCACGATCTGGGAGTTCACTGCTGTCACCATCTTGCCCACTTTGGATCTTCTGTTCCCCTCTCTCTTTGCCCCATTCTTACTCTCTCTCTCTCAAAAATAAAATAAACCAACAAAAAAAGAAGGTGTACAAATGACCCATAAGTTCATGAAAAGATCCTAACATCATTAGACATTAGAAAAATCTATTCAAAATCATGAGAGACTTCTTCATACCCCCTAGGACGGCTAGAACCTAAATGACAGATAATAGTACGTGGTGGTGGTATAGAGAAATTGGAACCCTCATACACTGCAGGCGGGAATGTGAGATGGTGCAGGCATTAGGGAAAGCAGATGGGCAATTCCACTCCTAGGTATGCACCCAAGAGAATTGAAAACATAGGTCCACAAAAAAGCCTTGAGCATAAATGTTCCTTACAGCATGATAGCCAAAAGGTGGGAACAACTCAAATGTCTGTTAACCAGTGAGTGGATAAATAAAATGTGGTATGCCCATGCAATGGAAGTTTATTTGGCAATAAAAAGGAACAAAGCCCCGATACGTGCTACAGTCTAGACAAACCGTGGAAACCTGGTAAGTAAAAGAAGCCAGATACAAAAGACAATGTACTTACTGTATGACTTCATTCATACAAAATGTCCAGAATTGGCAAATCCACAAAGACAGTAGATTAGTAGTTGTTGGAGGAGAGGGGAACAGAGAGGAATGACTGCTAATGGGCACAATGTTCCTTTTCGAAAAACATGAAAATGTTCTAAAATTAGGCAGTGGCTATAGTTTTACCATTCTGTGAATACACCAAAAACCACTCAACTGTATAGTTTAAAGGAGTGATTTTTAGGCTATGTAAATTGTCTCATTAAAGCTATTACAAAAAAGAAGAAGAAGAAGAAGAAGAAGAACAACAACAACAACAACAACAACAACATTCGACTTTTCAGAGAACATTAACATGAACTGTTTGGGGTAGAATGAAAATAAAACAGTAAACTATCCATAATCCTATCAGCTAACAATTCAAACCAATTTTTCTGTATTCCCTTCCGATCCTTTTCCAAAATACCACGTAGGTAATTTTGACATGCTTCTATCACCACAGACCTGTCTTTATCTTTCCAAAGGACATTACATATATGTATTTTACAAGTGACTTACATAAGAGACCTTAACAGAGTTCTTGCATATGCCAGGAACCATGCCAAGTTTAAAGACGCAAGAATGAATAAGAAATGAGTCCCCCCCTTAGAGTACCCCCCACTCCCCAGGGCTATATAGATCAGGAAGTATTCATTCTGTTTAACAGATGAGGAAATTAAGCTCAGTGAGGTTAAGTGAAATGTCTTAGGTGACTCAGCTGGTGACCGACAGAGCTGAGACTAACATCGGCCTCTAACTACCAGGTCATGGACCTTTCTTTTTTTTTTCTTTCTTTCTTTTTAAAGTTTATTTATTTATTTATTTTAGGGGCACCTGTGTGGTTCAGTCAGTTACATGTCAAACTTCAGCTCAGGTCATGATCTCACAGTTCATGGGGCTGGAGCCCCATGTCAGGCTCTGTGCTGACAACTCAGAGCCTGGAGCCTGCTTTGGATTCTGTGTCTCCCTCGCTCTCTGCCCCTCCCCCACTCACACTTTGTCTCTCTCAAAAATAAATAAACATTAAAAAATTTTAAATAAATGAAGTTTGTTTACTTTGAAAGGGAGAGCGAGCATGAAGGGAGGGGTGCAGAGAGAGAGAAAGAGAGAGAGAATCCCAAGCAGGCTCCATACTGTCAGCATAGAGGCGGATGCAGGGCTTAAACTCACAAACTATGAGATCATGACCTGAGCCAAAATCAAGAGTCTGACATTTAACCGACAGCCTCCCAGGCGCCCCGAGGATCTTTCTTCATGTGGACGACGATCCTGTTTTCTTGGTGCTTTTCTTGTTCTAAAGGGGCACTTGTTGCCTCTTCATCAAATCATAGTTTCCTAAACAAGGTGGGAAGCTTCACCTTTGCCCCAGATGCATCACCCCAGCTCCTGCAGCTGTAACTGTGATGGGGCCAGTGTTCAGACACAAGATTTCTATGGCTATCAAATGACTGAAGTTCAGTTTAAAAAGCAAAACAAAAGAAAAATATACACCTATCTTTGCAGAAAAATAACTATCTCTGGGTGCTTTAAGTACGTAATTTTCCTTTTCTCCTCTGTACTTTGTCTTTTCATTCTTTTTAAAAATTTTTTTAATGTTTGTTTATTTTTGAGAGAGAGCGAGCGAGACAGAGTACAGGTGGGTGAGGGTCAGAGAGAGAGAGAGGGAGACAAAGAATCTGAAACAGGCTCCAGGCTCTGAGCTGTCAGCATACAGCCCTTCTCCGGGCTCAAACTCACGAACCATGAGATCATGACCTGAGCTGAAGTCGCCCGTTTAACTGACTGAGCCAGCCAGGCGCTGCTCTTTATTTCCTATGATTAGTTTGTGCAAGTTTTGCTGTATACACACACACAGGTAGACGTGAGCACATGTGTGGGTGCACACGTATTTGGTGATAAGCACATGCCAGCAGTCGCCATAGGATCTTCTAAAGGCCTGTGTTGTGTCGCCATAGGATCTTCTAAAGTCCTGTGTTGTGTCTGACACCGACTAGGTCATCAAGAATAAGCTGGTGGGATCAGTGAAGGCTTTGCAGAAGCAGTACGTGTCCTCGGACACGGTGGTCACTAGCGAAGACGGAGACGCCAACACTATGTGCAGTGCCCTGGAGGCTGTATTTATCCATGGCCTTCACGCCAAGCACATCCGAGCCGAGGCCGGAGGGAAAAGGAAGAAAAGTGCCCACCAGAAGCCTCTGCCTCAGCCTGTCTTCTGGCCCCTCCTGAAAGCTGTCACCCACAAGCGAGATCGGCAGGGGAGGTTTCGCTATGGGGAGGAGTTCAGAGTGGGGGACACCAGGATCTACCACTCCAGCTGTACAGCAAAGGAGACGGGGGAGATGGGGGTTATTGTTAGACCAGCCTCAAGAGCCCCTCAGACCTCAGGCAATGGCTGGTCGCCTTTAGCAGGAGCCACCTTTTACCACATGGTGGCAAAGGGCAATAGTTGGGACAGAGAATGTGTGGCCTGCAAAGCCTAAAATCTGTACTAAGTGGCCCTTTACAGAAGAGGTTTGCTGACCCTGCCTTAGAATGTTTGAACATCTCTATGCTAAGTGTTATACTCCTAACAGGCTATGGCATTTTTTAAAGAAGTGGAATCCAGATCATCTGAATACTCACCCTGGGACATTTGTCTCTGCGGCCCTGCCCCTGCTCCCGGGCTTTGGACAAGCGGCTGCTGGCACCGCGCCTCTAAGGGCTATTAAATGCTACCCTCAGCCCGAAGGTGCCTTGTCAGCCTGTATCTTCCTTTTCGTGCTGCCACTGCCCTGGCTCAGGTTCTTACCTCACTCCTGGGTGACAGTGGCCTTCTAATTGTCCCCCTTATCTCATTCTGCCTTTCCTTAGGTCAGGCAGCCGCTCGACATTTATTGAGCTTACACGCACCTGAGCTCATTCCCTGAGCCCTGTGGAGCCTGCCCTCGTGTGGGCAAGACGTGCTCGGGGCACTGTGATAGTCAGAGGAAGGGCATTTACATCAGACAGACCCAGGGTCTGCAGAACCGCGGTCACGTCAGTCCCCTGTGCAAAAACTCGCAGGCTCTCCAGCGCTAGCCTGGAGTCCCGTTCACTTCGCTGGGGCCCCAGAATCTGTATCCTGACCAGGTTCCAGGTGATTCTGACGCACAGCCAGGTGTGGGGACCCTTGCCCCTCTTTGCCTCACTATTGGATGATACCATGCGTTACCTGACTTTGCCGCCCAGTCAGCCGCCCCTCCTCCGATGCTGTAATGGGAGTGCTCAGCAACGGGAGTGCTCACTGCTCAGGTTATAGAGCTGCTGCTTCCCTACCCCCAGGGCCTTTTTCTTTCAGTCCTTGGTGCCTAAATGATTCCCCTTCCATCTTTGCCTCTTGAAATCCCTCAAGGCCCAGCTCAGATACTGCCTTTCCTGTGGCATTTTTCTTACTGCAACCTGGAAATGATTGCCTTCCCCCGACCCCGGCTCCACTGACGGCAGGAATCACCTCCATGTGCCCTTGAAAGGTGGTAGCCCAGACTGAGAGCAGGACCATGTCTGTATCCCGTATCTTCACAGCTCCAAAGACCCGGCACTTAGGGGCTCATCAGATGTGTGCTGGATGAGCAGATGGTGGCCAGGGTGCCTGGGTAGTTGAAACGAAAATGGCAATTATCCTTCATAGCAGCAACCTCAAAGAGTTGGGGGCTGTCGCTAAATATTTCTTTTTTTTTTTAATTAAAAAAATTTTTTTTAATTTTTTAAATTTATTTCTGAGAGAGAGAGACAGACAGTGTGAGCAGGGGAGGGTCAGAGAGAGAGGGAGACACAGAATCCGAAGCAGGCTCCAGGCTCTGAGCTGGCTGCTCGAACCCACGAATGGTAAGATCATGACCTGAGCCGAGGTTGGACGCTTAACCGACTGAGCCACCCAGGCACCCCAGTATTTCTCAATTCCCCGTAGAACACTACTACCCGAGACTTTTTCAAGCCCGTATATACTTGCAGTCATTATTACTGGCTCTTGCTGGCTGGTGGATAAAATAATCCTTTGTGATTTGAAATCATTTCTTGAAACCAGCGTGTCCTTCTCACCCCCAGACACATTGTCTCCGAGTTGGAGCACCTGATCTTTGTCAGCACGGACGTGGGCCGCTGCCGGGCCTGGCTGAGGCTGGCCCTCAATGATGGCCTGATGGAGTGCTACCTGAAGCTGCTCCTCCAGGAGCCCGCCCGCCTGTGCGAGTACTATCAGCCTACGGCCCTGCTTCAAGATGCCAAGGAGGGCGAGTTCCTCCTCAGCTTCCTGCAGGGACTGACGTCCCTGTCCTTCGAGCTCTCCTACAAGTCCGCCATCTTGAACGAGTGGACACTTACCCCACTGGCTCTCTCTGGGCTCTGCCCACTCTCTGAGCTCGACCCCCTCACCTCACCTGGGGCAGAACTACAGCAGAAAGAGTCTCTGGACTCGATTTCCCATTCCTCAGGCTCCGAGGACATCGAAGTCCAGCACTCAGGCCATAAGATCCGACGGAACCGGAAGCTCACAGCCTCCTCCCTCAGCCTGGACACGGCCAGTTCCTCCCAGGTGTCTTGCAGCCTAAACTCTGATAGCTGCCTCCTCCAAGAGAATGGCTCCAAGAGTCCAGACCGTTCCGAGGAGCCCATGTCCTACAACTCCGACCTGGGGGCGGCCAATGCCGATGATTCAGACCCATCACTGCAAGAGTAAGTGCCCTCCCCCATTCCTTCTCCTCCCCCTTCCTTCCTTCTTCTCTTCCTCTTTCCCTATAGCATGTGATTGCCCGTGACTGAGCATTGACCCCTATGAGGGCATAAAGGAAAAGGGGACTGTCTTTCTTCCTCGGGGCCTCAGGTTGCTGGGCTCTGTAACTGGAGGCAACATGGGGCAGTGAAGAGAATGGATTTAGGGAGGGCTCAGAGCTGGATCAGGCTGAAGCTCTGCCCCTGGCTGATATTCAACAAGTTACTTCATTTCTCTGAGGCTTGGTGTAAAATAGGGCCTCGAGAGAGGAAGAAACTAGTAGCTCAGAGTTAGATTTACAACTTCCAAAAGATGCAGTGAAGCATGGTGCATAAGGGCTCTCCTTCATGACCTCCCAGAAGGCCTCTGAAGGACGCAGAGCCAGAGCCAAGCCTGGAGGAGGCGGTGGACAAAAGGGGCCAAGCAGGTGTGTGGAGGAAGACTACAGGGAGCAATGAACTTGACTATAGAAGGGACCCTTGGCAGAGCTATCTCGTTTTAAAATTTTTTTTCTATTTGATTTTAGTTGACACACAATGTTATATTAGTCTCGTGTACAACATAGTGATTCATCATCTCTCTATTTTATACCATCCTCACCACAGCAGAGACTTCTCCATTCAGGCCCTTTTTAAATATTAATTTTTAATAGATTTATGGGGAAAAAAAATCTATCTATAGTGAAAAGTCTTTCCCACCTTTAAAATCATAATTATTCCTTACATTTTTTTTTTTAGTTTATTTTTTATTTTTGAGAGAGACAGAATGAGCAGAGGAGGGACAGTGAGAAAGGGGAACAGATGATCTGAGGCAGGCTCTGTGCTGACAGCAGAGAGCCCAATGCAGGGCTGGAACTCACAAACCATGAGCTCATGAGCTAAGCCAAAGTCAGACTGAGCCACCCAGGTACCCCCTTTATATATCTTTTTTGATGTTTCTAAATTCATCTAACAAATATGAATAGACAGACTTTTTAAATGTCTTTTCTATTTCGTATCCTTGCCCCCTCCCCACAAAAGCTATTATAAATATACTGTGTAACATCTTGTTTTGGAAGAGATCATATCAGAGATTTTGTTTTGGAGTTTCATATCAGAATTTCTTCTCTTTTTTTTTTCTTATGGCATGTGTTTCCATTATATGGAATGTACTTTAGTCTATTTGACCAGCCTGTATTTAATGGACATTGGAGTTCACTGTTTCTATAAATAACCTTGTGTATGTGGTCTTTTAATTCTGTGCAAGTATCTGTGTTCAGTGAATTCCCAGAAACAGAATTGCTGAGCCACAGGATAAATTAATCTGTAATTTTCATAGATGTTGCCTGTTTACACTCTGTCGGGAACGTGCCTGTGCCCCCTCAGCCTTGTCAGCAGAAGGTTTTATCAAACTTTTGGATATTTGCCTATCTAACAGGTAGAACATGGTAAACTTTTTTTATTTTGAGAGAGAGAGCGTGTGCATGAGTGGGGAAGGGGCAGAGAGAGAGAGGGAGAGAGAGAATCCCTAGCAGGCTCCTCGCTGTCAGTGCAGAGCCCGACGCAGGGCTTGATCCCTGGAACCATGAGATCATGACCTGAGCTGAAATCAAGAATTAGACGCTTAACTGACTGAGCCACCCAGGTGCCCTGAAAATGGTAAACTTTTATTAAGCGCTTCCTTCAACCAGACCCATGTTCCCTCAACAGGCATCTAGAACCTTCTTTTCTACCCCTCTGTGCTCCTACCCTCTTGGTTCATTCAAGTCTTAACAGGTTTCCCAGCTGGGGTGGGAATAACACCAGGTTGGGTGCCAGTATGGGCTGGCTTGCGCAGGATGTAGCTTCAAGCCCTGTCCTACCCCTCACAAGTCTAGGAACGGCGGGCATTGCTGGCTCTGTAAGGTTGTTTCTTCGTCCGTAGAGCGGAGGCTGCCACATAGGGCTGGGAGTGAGTTGCGCACCGAACAGTATCTGGGCGATGGCTGATGCAGCTTCTGAGCAGCAGAGTCCATTAGACAGAACTTTCAAACCTCAAACAGAAGAATTTAGGTGGAACATCCCGGAAGGGAGCAATCCCCACTCTATCGGCTGGGCGGATGGCGTGACTTCGGTTCATTCACCTGTCTGAACCCTTCCCTGTCTCTCCTCCTCCCACAGGCCAGCCCGCCAGCCCTCTATCATGTGCTTTGCTTTTTATCTTTCATGAGTCTTGTGACTGGAAAATTCCAGCTTAAGGTCGTTGAATCAGTGACCGTTCACCCTGTGTGGGAAGTGTCATCCTGGACATTGTGGGAGAAGTCGAGGGAAGAGGGTCAGGATGTACAGAGCAGCACGGGGCAGTGGTGCGCAGAACCAGCAGACACAGTGTGTGCAGGTGCACGGACGCACCGCCAGTACCGTCACGCTGAGCGCTGGGCTTGTATCTTTGCACATCCACACACACCAGCTCTTAGAGGGTATGTCTGAGGGTGAAGATTCCATCAACCCTTAAGAGTTCGCTTATTTTTATTATATTACTTAAGTATTTGGTTGTTTTGTGTGTGTTTTTAAGTTTATTTTGTGAGAGAGAGAGAGAGCAGGGAGGAGGGGGAGAGATGGGGGAGAGAGAGAATCCAAAGTAGGCACTGACAGTGCAGAGGCTGACGTGGGGCTCGATCCCATGAACCATGAGATCGTGACTTGAGCTGAAATCAAGACTCAAACGCTTAACTGACTCAGCCACCCATGTATCCCTAATTTATAGATGTTTTGATTTTACAGTTGTAAGAATTATAAGGTATTTATGTCAAATTTTAAGTTACAAATACTTAAGTAACAGGGGCTACTGGGTGGCTCAGTCAGTTAAGCGTCCAACTCTTGATTTCGGCTCAGGTCATGATCTCACAGTTTGTGAGTTCAAGCCCTGTGTTGGGCTCCATGCTGACGCACAGAGCCTGCTTGGGATTCTCTCTCTCCCCCTCTCTCTGCCCCTCCCCCCCACATGCACCTGCACACTTTCTCCCTCTCTCTCAAAATAAATGTAAAAAAAAGTTTTTAAAAATCATCTACAAGTTAAACATGAAGTACAAAACATATAACATTCCAGTGAAATGTATTAATGTTTTCCAGAAACTAAATTGCAGTTTGCCTTGTGAATAGAGGATTGGCGCTCTGAATAGCTTCTTTTGTGTTGGTTGAGTCTGAATCACAGTGATCACTGAGAAGCACCACTAGGGTCTGGTGGTCAGGAGTGTGGGCTCAGGAGCCAGACTGCTGGAGTCTTCCGTTAACCAGCTCCACGACCTCGGGCAAGTTACTCAACTTTTCTGACCTTGATGTCCTCATCTGCAAAATGGGGATAAGAAGGCTAGGGAGATTAAATGAGTTAAGGGATGCAAAGCCCTTAGAGCAGTGCCAGTCACAGGAGGAGTGCTGGGATAGCTGGGGTCCTCGTGACGTCAGTTCTCGTGCTACTGTCTCCGTGTACACAGCTGCAAATCCATGGTTAGTGACATTGCTCAGATGTTGTTGTCATGAGGCCATCTCTTGGGGGGAATGGTTCCTCACATACGCAGCCCCTTTCTGTACCCTCATGAGCACCCCTGCCTGCCACGTGGTGCCATGGACAACAACACGCTAGCCCATGTGCTCAGGCAAAGCACAGGCTCAGTCGCTTGGCGGGGGGGGACTTTATGAGGCGGTCATGCAGATTCTCCAGCCCGTGCTTTTATTTCACACCTACGCCTCTGCGTACACATAATACATGTGCGCATAATAATATGTATATTTTTTCAGACTGTCTTCTAGAAGAATCTTTACTGTTTTTGAATAGACCGTTTTTGAAAAACACTGGCCCTGAGCCGGACAGAATTGGAAGGACTGGAACAGTTTCGCCGTTTCAGCCCTTGTGTTGCATTTCCTCCAACAGTTTTGAAAATTCTCTTTCCTTCAAAATCGCATCTCTAGGGGCGCCTGGGTGGCTTAGTCGGTTAAGCATCCGACTTTCACTTAGGTCATGATCTCGTGGTTCGTGGGTTCGAGCCCCGTGTCGGGCTCTGTGCTGACTGCCAGCTCAGAGCCTGGAGCCTGTTTCGGATTCTGTGTCTCCGTCTCTCTCTGACCCTCCCCTGCTCACGCTGTCTCTCTCTCTCTCTCTCCTAGAAATAAAACATTAAAAAAAATTTTTTTTTTAAATCACATCTCTAGCACTTTCTTCCATTTGATGCGCGTATCTCTTATTCTTTCTGGGTCCTGCCCACCAGCTCTGGTTCTGGTGAGACTCTATGAACTTGACCTCCTCTTGACCGTGGTGTTGATTTGGTTGGAAACTTCTAATTTATCACACACACTTCTTGCTGTTGGGTGGTGTTTCTTTATTCCAACACCCAGTCCACGCCGTCATTAAAATGTGTCTTACAGGGGCACCTGGGTGGCCCTGTTGGTTGAGCATCTGACTTCGGCTCAGGTCATGATCCCTCAGTTCGTGGGTTCGGGCCCCATGTCGGGCTCTGTGCTGACAGCTCAGAGCCTGGAGCCTGCTTCTGATTCTCTGTCTCCCTCTCTTTCTTCCCCTCCCCCACAGTCTGCCCAGCATGAGGATGAGGGTCCTGGCTTGCTCCACCAGCAGACTGGACCGCATCTCGGTGGCTGGACGCTGCCCCCTGCTGGTGCACCCCATCCATGCTGCCTGCAGGATCTCGTGTGGCTGGGCTTGCCTCCTGCCACGCTGCACTCTAGCCATCTTTCCAGTTGCTTTTCTAGGGTCAGCCCTGCTTCCCTCTGATTCCTTTACCCTTGGATCCTGCCTGTGCCTAACAGGCTGGCTGCTTTCTGGACATTTACAGCAGGGCCAGTGCTTATAATACCTTCCCCAGGGGACAGTCCAGGAGCAACCAGTTTCTGAGACATAAAAACAATAGTAACCTCATTCATTTATTCATGCAGCAGATGAGTGTCTACCATAGGCACTGGGACCCCAGCAGTAAGTAAGATGAGGTTGAGAGGCAGGCCCAGCACCGTGGGTACAAGCACAGGCTGTAGAGTGAGAATATCAGACACAGCCATCAAAGGCACTAAAACTGATCACAAGAATTTTCAGGAGCTTCCTTTAAGAATATGTCCATGACCTTGGCTAAGTGTGCAAGCTTGTATGAGTCACTACTCTCTGGTTCTCAGCTTCTCCTTCTGAACATGACATGGCTGAACTGGATGGTGTTTAAGACTCTGTGCAGAGTTTGTTTTTTGCAAGACTACTACTCCTATGAAGTAGTCTTGCAAAAAAATAAAAATAAAAAACCACCCAAATCTTGATCTGATCAAACCTCTAGACTCAACTACAAGGAAACATAGAAAACAGAGCAATATGCGAGACCACATCGTGGGTTTGCAATCATCAAAACCCAGACTGCCGACAATCTGCAGGATACATGACACGCCTTCTCCAAGGATAGATCGTGAGATAAATCACAAGCAAAAAGAGAAAGACGGAAGAGGAGCCTATGGATTAAAAGAGACTTCAGAGACATCAACCAATCACAGCTGAGCTCACCTGATTCCAATCTGGATTGAATCAAACTGTTGGAAGTGCTTTTTGACATGACACCGTTGGAACTTTGAACACTGACCAACTACGTGACGATATTAAAGAATTGTTCTTTCAAGAAAGACAATAGTGATTGACAAAGGGCAGAGACGCCCCCGGCAGCAGGGACCTGTTAGGAAATAGGGCTGGGGAGCCTGGGAGAAGAGACTGCGGGGAGGCTTACCCCCAGCTCGGCCATTAGCTCACTCGAGTCCCTGCCTCTCCCCAGGCCTTGGTTTCCCCATCTAGGAAATGAAGCAAGGGGACCCAGTGTTTAACCTTGGCCTCCTTTTGCTTTATCTTCACATGAACAGCCCTGGAGCCTTTACTCAGTGCCCGTATCAGCCCCACCATGTGGCCAGAGGAGCATAAAAGCAGCAGAGGCAGGCCCGAAGGCCAGAGCTGTTGGCTTCTGCAGAACCTAGAAGAGGCTACCTCCTTGCGGCCACTCGCTTGGAGGGTCAAGCTGCATGATCGCAGGAGGGCTGGGCCACACCTGAGGGAAAGGATGACCTTCACTTACTCACAAACCATGGCCATGAGATATCTTCTCCCTGGGACGCTTTGGCCTTGTTCTGATAACCGGGAGTTCTGGTGAGTTCTCTTGCCCTGCATTCTGATCTGGTCAGTCTGCTCATGACCCCAGTTGAGGTGGGGTACTGCTGCCTCTGACACACTCGTATGGTCACATGTGAACAATGCCACTGCATTGGTACAAGTCACCTGTCCCTAGATTCCTTGTTGCTGGCCTCTGTCCACCTGCCCTTCAGATACCATCACTATGAAAGTATCAGTCTTTTTTTTAAAAATTTTTTATATGTTTTATTTATTTCTGAGAGAGACAGACAGCGTGAGCAGGGGAGGGTCAGAGAGAGAGGCAGATACAGAATTGAAACAGGCTCCGGGCTCTGAGCTAGCTGTCAGCACAGAGCCCAACGCGGGGCTCAAACCCACGAACTGTGAGATCATGACCTGAGCCGAAGTCGGACGCCCAACTAACTGAGCCACCCAGGCGCCCCGAAAGTATCAGTCTTAACACACAACCTCACGCGCTGTGAATGCTCAGCAAATAAATAGGGAATATTTCCTTCCTGGATTGTCAGAGGAGCTTAAAATTCTCTGGAAGCATCAGGAGCCTTATCTCCAGGAGGATAAACTGAAATACCCACTGCCTGCTACCAAACACCAGCCAGTTAACCACATGAAGTAAATAATACCCTAGCCCGAAAGAGAAAGAAAGACACTTCTGTTATAACAGGCAGTAAGAGGGGGTGCTCAGTCGGTTAAGCATCCAACTTCGACTCAGATCTTGCAGTTCGTGGGTTCGAGCCCCACATCAGGCTCTGTGTTGATAGCTCAGAGCCTGTAGCCTGCTTAGAATTGTTTCCCTCTTTCTGCCCCTCCCCCACGCATTCTCTCTCTCCTCTCTCTCAAAAATAAACATTAAAAAACTGTTAAAAAATGAGCAGTAGGAGTAACAGCTAAACCCACCATGTTAGTATCAAACCTGGATTCAAATCCTTGCCCTGCCTCCCCTCTGTGACTTTGGGATTTCACAAGGGTGCTGTGGAGGTGAAACTGCTCACTGCATACAGTGCTGGCATCATGCCTCACACACTGGGAAGGCTCAGTACATGTCAGCAAGTCCTTCCTGGGAAGCCTTCACTGTAGCACACCCTGGGTGCTCCACCCTCTCCTCCCCATCCCCAGTTACCCCCTGTTTACTTTCCCTCTCCCTTATAAAATTCTTTTTGGTGCTTCATTCTTTGGCTTGGCTGGCTAATGGAATCTTGTCTTGTTTTATAGTGGTGGGTTTCAGGCAAGGTGGAAAGCCAATACAGAGGCCACTCCAGGCCTAGGAGGTCTTCCAAAGGCACCTTGAGAATCACAACTTATTGGTGCCTTTTCCGGCTACTCCGCATCAGCCCTGCAGATAACCGGCCTGGAGCTGTGGCTGCCTGCCCCCACTGCAGACAGGACACCGTTTTAAAAGATATGGTAGCACAGGGAGTTGTCTTGGTCTTGGGGGACCAACAGGATGGAATCGGTGCCCAAAGAGACCACAGCCCCAACTCCAGTTCTGCTACTGTGTAAAGCGGGGAATCTTAACGCCCGCCTACCCCCATCCCCCAAGCTGGGGAGCACACTGGAGGGAATTCTTTTTTTTTTATGTTTTTTATTTATTTCTAGGAGAGAGAGAGACAGTATGAGCAGGGGAGGGTCAGAGAGAGAGGGAGTCACAGGCTGAAACAGGCTCCAGGCTCTGAGCTGGCAGTCAGCACAGAGCCCGACGCGGGGCTCGAACCTATGAACCGCGAGATCATGACCTAAGCGAAAGTCGGACGCTTAACGACTAAGCCACCCAGGCGCCCCTGGAGGGAATTCTTAAATGTTGGTGCCGGGAACCCACACTTCCTGTATACGGGCCGTTGCTGGCCCCTTGTGGCCACTGGATAGATTGCACAGCCAGTTGACCCGAGGACAACGTCGTGGGAGAAGCCGCTCCCGCTTCTGAATCAGCCTGATGCTGGGCTTCTCAACCGTGACAGGCCCATAACTCCCTTCTCATAAAATTTATTGTGTGTAACTATAGTATACCTTATTCAGGTGTTGACATATACTAAGTGACATATTTATAGCATACAATTTGATCATCTTTGACATATGTATATATCCATGAACCCACCATCACAATCAAGATGGTTAATATCTCTTCACTTCCAAAAGTTTTCTTGTGCCTCTCAGCAACCACCCCCATCCCTTTCTGCTCCCCCATCCCCAGGCAACTACTAATCTACTTTCTGTCATTATAGATTAGTTTACAGTTTCTAGAGTTTCTTATGAATAGAACCATGCAGTGTCTTCTCCTCCTCTTCTTCCTCCTTCTTCTCTCCTCCGTCTTCCTCTCCTTATCCTTCTCTTTCTTTTTTTGGTCTGGCTTCTTTCACTCAGCATAACTATTTTGAAATTTATTCATGTTGCTGCATATACCAATAGTATATTCCTTTTTTTAAAATGTTTTGTTTTTAATTTTTTTTTTTGAAAGAGAGTGCGAGCAGGGGAGGGCCAGAGAGAGATGGAAACACAGAATCCTAAACAGGTCTCAGGCTCTG